TATATATATATATATATATATATATAATTATTACGGGGCCTACTATATATGCATTTTTAAGGTGTTGAAATAAAGTATAGATCCAAATAAACCATATTATGCAAACGTTAATAAGAGTGTAGCCACCTAGAATACCAAGCGCTGCCCATCAATGTTGTTCTCATGAGCAATTTAGCAATACATACCTCCCATATATACATATATATGCATGCCGTTAAAGGATTTAAACGTGTAATTTAGATGCATGCAAGCAAAGAAACGAAGGCCCAAAAGCAAGAACAGGAATCGTAATAATAGTAGTCAGGCGTTCTGCAGACTACCACTCTAAAACAGAACACGAATCCTAACAATAATAATAGTGTTATTGGTTTTTATCAGCAGGAATACCAATAACGTATATATGCGTGTATATATATAAGTAGCTATGATAAATGATGTTGGAAATATGGTTGTTGCTGCTACTATTGCTGTATATATGCAGCCATAATGCAGAAAGATTGAAATATTGGTATTCGTGTTAATAATATGATAAAATAAGTGTTTGACTAATTAGTTGCAAATCCAGTTCGTTAGTTGGTGCCTTCCCAAAATATGAAGTGGAAGGAAATGAAAATAAACCGCTAAATCAAATATTTCTGTAATTTTTTACACATGTTCTTACAAAGGAGGGAAAAGGTTAATTAAATTAGTAAAGAACTTGGAAACATAAACGTAGCTTATGTGTAGGCGCCTACCATCAGCACAGTATCCAACGCGCTTGGCAAAAAACAAAAAAAAAAGAATAAACATGATTACAATGATAAAACAATCAAGAAAAAATGATCGGACAAATCAGTTTTAAATACATTCGTTGTGTGCTCTTACACCTGCTGGTTTTGTAGCACGAGCAGAGCCGCCGAGTGAAGACATGAGAAAACGAGGGAAAAAAACATTAGAGGCATGGCAGACGCATGCATAACAAGAAATTACAATAGTAGACAAGCGCTCAAGCGCTATTCATATTCTGTATGAACAACATAGTGTAGTAGTGTAGTGTGCAAAGGTACAAAAGGAAGGTGTGGAGTGGCCATCTCGGGGAGCTGCCACCAGAGGGGCAGTTCCGTGATCCCGTCACTGCACCACAGCGAGCGCTTTTCCCTGCTCTGTTTCCAGCCTTAGGCGTTCCGCGCCTCATTATCAGCTGAGACGTCCCCACCTCCGTGGGATCGCCTCTGCCGGCTGCGGGGTCGCCGGGGCGGATCACCTCCCCATGTTTCTGGCGCATCCCACTCGATCCGGCAGTTACAGCTCTCCACCTTCCCGACCTCTGCTTAGATAACAGCGGGGCGCTGCCCCCGCCGGTCGGACTCCTCAACAGTAAGAGGTGCAACTGGCTGTAGGCAAACGCCCATCATTGGCACAGGTGACCCTGGGCAATGGTAACAGTGCCGTATGCAGCGGAAGGGGTGCGTGCAGTGGTGGGGTTGTTTTGTCTATTTTCAAATGGATTTTATGCTTAAAATTCTTTATTTTATAAATGAAAAACGATGGAAAAATTTTTATGGGCTCATGTTCGCCATTTAATGGATTTCATACTCGCTGCACAGGTGCTGCTGAAGCAATTCCTCCTGGGGGGGAGGAGGTACGCAGCAGGCACATACAGCTCTTCCCTTTGAACGGTAAAAGGGTATTAAGTAGAATTCGACTTGTTAATGAAATAAATGAAGATTAAATGACACGAAAGATGTACTTTGTCCGTAAAGGAATATTCCTCTTCAGCGTTGGCGAGGAGGAGCCTCAGGGCAAGCCCTCTTCCTCCCAAGCAAACAGATGCTACGCTGCCCTCCATCAATTCTTTCCCCTCTAGTTTAGTTTCTTCTTGCTCTACGCTTTTCAGTGACCTTTCTCCCTCTCCTATTTTTCTGGTGTTGCATAAAAGCCACTAAGCGCAAGAAGTGACCCCACAGTCACTCTGCATATTTTAGCTGTTTTGTCTATTTTGCCGTCTCTGCATACACAGCGAAGCGTTGCTAAAAAGTTTATATAAATTAAAACTGTGGCTAAAAGGATATCAAATTATTTGAATCTGTAGGTAAGCAGGGGTTATGTAAATTTAACCTGTAACTCATCGTTTGGACTCAGTCACACTGAGGTTCAACACGGATAAAATGGACAGAACCTGAATCTGAACAATCTTTATTTGATATACAACTATATCAAAACAATATGTAAATGATTTAAATAAATTTTTGTTCTTCGTTACCCTCTAGCGCCACTGTTGCCCTTGGTTTGTGAGGAGGCCCCGATGAGGGCTTGAGGGCTGTCTGTCATCTTCCTGTAATTTTTTGCAAATTTTTTGATTGATTTGTTTGTATAAACCGTCACAATAAGCCTTTCATCGTATACGTATAAATATATATATCTATTTGTGCCCGTTTTTTCAATACCTTTTGCTCAAGGCAACTCAGGGTCACTTCATCCGGCTGTATAACATCGCCGGGCCCCCCTTGTTCGGGCTGCTTCTGCGTGGATTTGGGGGCGTATCTGCAACTCCTTGAAAACTATTCGATTATTTGTACCTCTCATTTCTTCTTTTTGTTGCTGTTACTCCTCCTGTTGTAGACACCTTCTACCGGGCGTCGCCCTAAGCTCTGCTTCATCCAGCTTCCACGCCTCCGCCCTAGCTTCCTTCCCTCCCCTAAATTACACCCTAATATTCTTTTGCTTCTTCAGATAGCTTTAACAGGTGTAGCAGCTGTGCAGCGACTGTAGCAATAGCAGCAGCAACACCGCCAACGGCTGCAACGGCAAGCGCAACATTAACTGCTGGAGCAGCGGCAACAGCAGCAACAACGCCTGCAGAATTAGCAACGGCTTCTGCAGAAGCAGCTGCAGCATCATTTAATTAGTTGTGTCGTTGTTGCAGCTTTGGTTTCACTGCAATGTCTCTTCAGCAGCACTTGTCTTCCTAATGCTTTATTACTTTTTTTTCCTTAATCCGGATGTCTCGTTTCCCACTGTACCTCTCTGTTTCCTCTTTACCTTCTCCTTTCTATATCATCCTTTCTATTTCCTCTTGTTGATATCGCTCTTTTTGTTTGCCCAATGTCAAGCCGACGCAATAACCCAGACCCCCCTCACTCCTTTTCCTCTTCTGCCTCTTCTTCTGCGTCTGCTGCTGCTTCTGCTTCTGTTTCTTCCAACAGGAGAGAGCCTTTGCGTAGGTCATTCTGTTCTGGTGCTGCTGTGTCCTCCTCGCTGCCTGTCTCTTTAAAGGCAGAGACAGCAGCAGCTCTTGTTTCTTGGGGTCTTCTGTCTCCTCTCCTTGTGGGACCCCTCCAGCCACACGGCTTAGCCGTCCTCAGTGCCCCCCGCAGCCTTCACCTGCGCAGCGGTGTAGGGGTTTTGGAGTTGTTGTCATTTGCTTTGGGACGCCGTGGGATCGAGCGCCTTCCCGATCCTGGGATCGTCTCCCACGCTCCCCACCCCACAGCCTTCGCCAACAACTGGAAAAACCTGACACCCCACATCGAAGCCCTCGGTATCTGGTTAGGAGACACCTGGAGCAAAGCCCTAGAAAAAGGAGACCCCGAAGCTGTAGGCTCTCTTGTAGACCTCGTCGTAGAGCGGCAGCTTAAGTACGAGCAGATGGTCATGGCCTACGACAACACGCCACTACCAACAGCTGCTGCAGCAGCACCTGCTGGTGCTGGTGCTGATAGTTCTGCGCATACGAGAGTTTTACGATCGCAACCTGTAACAAATGCAGAGGCTGCTGCTCCTCTTCCTCCTACTACAACCGGCGACAACAGCAGCAATAGGCTATCTCTAGCCCACTCCCGTAGAGCTGCCGAAGGCAGTATCCCTCCTGCTGCTGTTGTAGCTGCTGCTGCTCCTGCTTGTCGTTCCACTAACTGCATCAGCGGAAGGGAAGAGCAGAAGCCAGCAGGCATCTGCATACAGCCTCCTGCTTTGGCAACGCCGTATCCCTACGAGGCCCCCAATGGGCTGCAGCAGCAACAGGAGCAGCAATTGCGCACCCAAACCACCCAGCAGGGACTGCAGCAACTTCAATCGCAGAAACAGCCACAGCAGCAACAGCCACAGCAGCAACAGCCACAGCAGCAACACCACCAGCTGCCGCTTGAAGTGCAGCAGCAAATGCAGAAACACATGCAGCAACAACAACAGCAGCACGTGCAGCCACAACTGCAGCAACAGTGGCAACAAAAACCAATGCAGCAACCGCAGCAGCTCCTGCAGCAGCAATTGCAGCAGCCACCGGGGCACCAACTGCAGCGACACGTGCAGCAGCAACTGCAACAACCCGTGCAGCATCAACCTCAGCGGCAACCGCAGCAACGACTGCAGCATCAGCTGCAGCAGCAAGAAGAGCAGCTGCAGCAGCAGCAGGAACAGCAACTGCAACAGCAGCAGGAGCAGCAACTGCAGCAGCAGCATGGACAGAAACTGCAGGAGCAACTGCAGGAGCAGCAGCAGCAACAACTGCAGCAACAACTGCCGCAGGAGAAGCAACCGCAGCAGCAACCGCAGCAGCAACCGCGGCAGCAACTGCAGCAGCAACCGCAGCAACAGTTGCTGCAGCACCTGCAGCAGCAACTGCAGCAGCACCTGCAGCAGCAACTGCAGCAGCACCTGCAGCAGCAAACGCAACAACAACCACAGCACCAGCAGCAACAGCAACTTCAACAGCAACCGCAACAGCAGCAACTGCAGCAACAATTGCAGCAGCAGCTGCAGCAACTGCTACAACAACTGCAGCAGCAACTGCTGCAGCAAGGCGGAGACAAGCAACAACTGCAGCAACCGGCCGTTGTCGACGGAGTCAGCAGGAAGAGCTCATTCTCCATGGACACCTCTTTATGCGCTGCTACAGCACCAGCACCAGCAGAAACTGCAGCGGCAATAGCAGCAGCAACAGCGGCAGCAATAGCAACAGCAACGCCAGCAGCAACACCAGCACAAAGGGCAACTGAAAGCATGCGAACAGCAGCAAATCCTGGTGCTGCTGACTTGGGTAATACACAAGAGGCAGCAAGGGGAGACTTCTCTGTGCAGCACACAGACATATGTGAGTCTGCCTCTTCCGGCTGCTGCTGCTGAGTCTGCCCCTCAGTTGTCTTTAATGCCCTTTTCCCTATTTGCAGCACTTGTAGCTTCAGTCCCTTTTATTTTGCTGCTTTTCTCTTTCTACTGCTGTTACTGCTACTCGATGGGGTCCTGCAGCTCCCTAATTTGGAACTTCCCATGGCTGACGCTGCTGCTCCTGTATCTGCTGTGGTTCTGATGTTGGTGTTTTTGTTGCTGCTGCTGCTGCAGCGGATGTCACGGACGCCTCACTGTTTGAGCCCGACGCAGAGGACGGTGCTGCTCTGGAGCCCCGCAGCCGCAGCCGCTGCTGCAGCAGCAGCAGCAGCAGCAGCACTCTTTTGTGTAGGTACCTGGCGGAGACGGTGTTGCAGCCATTGAGGCAAAGCAGCAGCCTCCGCTTGTCTGATCCTGCAGTGTGCAGCACTGAAGGGGCCCCTCTTGGGCCACTGCAGTTTACTCCTGTGAGCTGTACAGGCACCGAAGCGCCGCTACGGGCGGGTAGCGGTATGCTGGAGCCGCAACAAGAAGAGCAGCAGCAACGGCAACAGGCCAATGCAGAAGAGCTGCAACTACAGAAGGAACAGGAGCAGGTGAAAGACGACCAGCTGCCCCTACAGGAGCAGCAGCGGCAGCAGGTGGGAGAGGATCAGCCGCAGGTACAGCAGCACGAACAGCAAGACCTGCAGCAGGTGCAGGAGCAGCAACAGCAGGAGGACGCTGAAGCAGAGGAATTCGGCCACGAGCTGGATTTACCAGAAGAAGAAAATGTCCCCATCTCCCCTCCCGAGCAGCAAACGAAGCAGCAGCAACAGCAGCAGCTGGTGGATCTGCTGCAGCAGCAAGCGGAGCAGCAGCAGAGTATGGAGGAAATGGAAGATTCTTCTGGCACGACAACTCCAGACGAGACCACCACAGATGCAGCAGCAACTCGTGCAGCTGCAGCTGCAGCTGCAGCTGCAGCAGCAGCAGCAGCAGCGGCTGCTGCAGGAGATGCTGCTCCTTCAGGATATTTGTCCGGCCGTCGGCTGTCTTCAGGAAACATAGAATGGAATGGAGGATCGAGGAGAAGGACTAGCAGCATTTTTGTGTCTCCTCTTGGCGACTTGGGGCAGGCACAAGATGTCCCTTTCTTTGCCCACCCAACTAAACCACAGCACCAGCAGCAGCATGTGCAGCAGCAGCAGCAGGAGGCCCGCGGAAACAGCAGTGGCGAAGGGGAAAGGCGACAACCTTGGCGTGGCAACGACAACATAGAGGAGTTGTTGCTGCAGTCTCTAAAGAGACACTTTGGCTGCAGCAGGAGCAGCAGTATCAGTATTGTAAAGGAAAAGGGACAAATGCTCCATGCTTTAGCAGCAGCAGAAGGCATGGAAGTTGTTGCGGAAGGAATTACAAATTGGGCAGAAAGTTTTAGTCAACAAATAGAAAAGGCAGCGCAATTGCTACAAAAGGAACCAAAAAAAGCCCCAATCGTAGTGCAAATCTTCTACTCAGGTGCATGGATGCAGCATGCTGCTGCTGCTCGTGTTGTTGCTGGTGCTGTTGCTGTTGCTCGTGCTGCTGCTGCTCATGTTGTTGCTGGTGTTGTTGCTGCTGCTGCTGCTGCTCGTGTAGTTGCGGCTGCTCGTGTCGATGCTGCTACTGCAGCTGCTGCTTTGAAGCATGTTACTGATGCCCGGGGAGAGATGCTGCTGCTGCTGCTTCTAGGGCTGTTTATTCTGCTCCTCAGCCATTTTTTTGCTGGTTCTGCTTCTGCTGCAGTTGGTGCTTCTGCTGCTTTTAATATGGTTGCTGCTGTGAATTTGCCTACTTTTCCTGCATTTGCTGCTTCTGCAGGTGCTGCATTGCTTAACTCCAAGGGTTTTGTAGGACAGGCAACTTCTCTGCTTCAGTGTCTTGCCAAGCTGCTGCAACAGCTGCTGCTGCTGCCTGAGGAGAGTGGGGCGCTGCAGCAGCGGCTGGTAGATCACCTGCGTCGTTGTTCAGCTGTTGCCTGCTTCTCCCAGCTTGCTGCAGCAGCAACGGAAGCAGCGGTGTACGTACATTCCGCAGCAGCAACAAATCTTTTGGCAGCAGTAGGGGACGTGCTTCTGCATTTGTCTCTCTTTAATCCTGAGGTCGTATGGGCGGGGGGTCTCCTAAAGAGAGTAATCGAGCAAGAAGCCTCCTATTTCCTCCTTGCAAACATCATGCTCCAGCAGCAGCAGAAGAAGCAGCAGGACCAGCAACAGCAACACCAGAAAGAGGCAAAGGGATTACCCATTGATGTCCTTGAGGCTATGGCTGTGGAGGCATGCAGCACAGTAGGTGTTTCCTCGTTTTTGTCTCTTTTCTACTGTGCTGCTCCCTTAGCGTCTTCTTCGTGCTGTTGCAGCACCTGCTGACTTGCTGTTGTTTGGCTCCTTAATTCTGCTGCAGCCGCTGCAGCAGTTGCCTTCAAGCCCCCTCGCACCGTCTCCGTGCTGCTGATGCTTCAGCTCCTCTTGTTGCTGCTACTGCTGCTGCTTCTGCCGCTACCGCTGTAGCGCCTTTTGCTTTGCTGTTTCTGCTGCCGCCGCATTGTGATGCTCAGGTGCTCCAGCAGCAGAAGCCCCTTGCCACCCGCACCACTGCGCTGCTAGTGTTGGGGCCCCTCTGTCGCTGCTGCAGCAGTTTGCTGCAACCTGGAGACGACGATCCCACACGCATTCAAAAACAGATCCTCGGGTGTCTACGCATAGCGTTGGCGGAACGGTAAGCCCCTGTTGCTGCTCCTGCAGCAGGGACAGAAGCACGAGCAGTAGCTGCTGAAGCGTAGCAGCAGCTACATGCGCCAACATGCAAGCCTTGTGCTGAATTGCATGCGCCTTAGGGAGGAACCCTGGGCAACAGCAGCAGCAGCTGCTGCTGCTGACATTGTTTTTGCTGCTGCGGAAGGCAACTCCAGCGAGTTTGCTGCTACAGTGGTAGGGGAGGGGTTTGTGTTGGAGGCCCTTCTTCCTGCTGCTACCCTCGCAGCAGCAGCAGAGAAAGGCGTATTCGTGACAACCGCTGCAGCAGCAGCTGGTGCAGCAGCAGCTGTTATAACAAAAAGCGCCGGAGCATTAGCATTTGACAGTGAGTCTGTGTGTTGCTTGTGTCCTTCGCCTGCTGCTGCTGCTACAGTAAGCAGGTTGTGCTGCTGCTGTTGAGTAGAGTCTGTCTCCCTCTCCGTTGTCTTCGCTATACCGCTTTTGCCGCCGTCTCCAATGTTTTTGCTAAAGCTACAACAGCGGCAGCAGCATCTGCTGTTGTTGTTGATGCTGGTTGAGCTGCTGCGACGACAGCAAGGATTGCGTGCTGCACCCTTATTCGCTCCTGCTACCGCTGCTGCTGCTACTGCTGCTGCAGCTGGCCGTCTCTTTTCCTTTGTGGAGAGATACCTCAGCACAGTCCCTTCTTTTGGCCCTTCTAGTTCTTCTATTTGTGCTGCCTTCTTTATACACCCGCAGTAAGACTGCTTCTTTTCCTGTTGCTTCTTTTGCTGCTTTTCCCTTTCCTGCTTCCGCTCTTTCTGCTGTTGCACACCAGCGTGAAACGATTGCTACTTTTACTACTACTAGTAGTACTACTACTAGCACTACTCCTACTACTACCCCTACTACTGCAACTACTACTACCACTACTACAACTATTGCTACTAATACTACTGCATCGGCAACTGCCGCACTACTGTCTCCTTACGAGGGTGCCTGGGCTACGTGGTGGATTTCCCTCCAGCAGCTGCTGCAGCTGGAACAGCTGCTGTAAGAGAGCTGGTGTTTCCTTTTGCAGCACGTCCACTGACATGGCAGGGGACCTGCTCTCTGCAATTTCTTCGGTGAGCTGAAGCAAACGTGAGCAGCAGGAGCTGCAGCAGGAGCAGCAGCAGGAGCAGCAATTCCAGCAGCAGGTGCAGGAGACAGACCTGACTGTGCTGCTTAGGTGTAATCTGCTGCTGGTGCTGCTCGTTGTGGTGTGCTGCTGCCACCTCTTGCAGCTGCACACAAGGAGGACCCCAATAGATGCTCTCTGTCTTAGCGAGATGCTCTTAGACTGCTGGAGAGGGCGAGGGTCTTCTCCTCTGCTGCAGCAGATCACAAAGAAGCTGCTGCTGCTGGACCGTGTAGCAGCAGCAGCACCACCAGCGGGTGTTACAGGGGAGCGTAAGTGCCTAGCCGAAGTGTTAAGCAACTTCTTGAGGAACCAATTGCAAGACAAAAAAATCGAGGAAGAGACAAAAGAAACACTTCTTGCTCTCTGCGAGGAATGCTTGCGGTACTTTGCCAAGAAGGGTTTATGCGGCTATGGGTTTTGGGTTTAGGTTTTAGGGTTAATGGTTAAGAGTTTATGGTTCAGCGTTTCTGGTTTAGGGCTCTTGAGGAAAGAAGGTAGCCCTTATATTTCGCTGCTGGCCCTAAACCCTCAACCCTAAATCCTCGGAGGGCCAATCCCAAAACACTTATTTTATCTTCTTCTTTCCTTTGCTCCCCTTTTCTCATTCTATCTCTCCCTTTCTCTTTCTCTCTTTGCATATATATACATATAATAATTGGTGCAGCTCTAGTTTATAGTTAGTAGTTACGTTTTCTTCTGTTGCCTCTTAATGTTTTCTACTGTCTCTTTGTGTCTCTGTCCATTAATGTTTGCCTGTTATTTGTCCCCCTTTTTTCCTTTGTCTTCTTTATTTGCCTCTTGGCCTCTCAAGTGCCTTGTCTGTCCCCTTTAATGTCCGTTTTGTCTCCTTTTGTTTCGTTTTGTCTCTTCTTTACTCAGCGAAGACCTCCAGGAGACAATATCTCGTTTCAATAGTCTCGCTCGAGGTGAGGGGCCCCCAGGGCCTCAACTATCCCTGTCGGCAGCAGACTGTCTGCTGCAAGAGCTGCAACAACACCCGGCATCAGCTGCTGCTGCTGCTGCAGCAGCAGCAGAGGCGCAAGCGCAGCAGCAGGCAGGAGAGACAGATCTTGAGGCATGCAGCAGCGCCCATTGGCTGGAGGATCCAGAAGGAGCTGGTGCTTCTGTCTCTTTTACTCGAAGCAGCTCGAGTCAGCAGCAAAGCCCGTCTCCCCATCAGCCGCACCAGCCGGCAGAAACAGCAGCAGCAGCAGCAGCAGCAGCAGGACACGGGGAGTCGCAGCATTCAGCGCAGGTATCCTTCTGTCTCTGCAAAGTGTTTAAGATAGTTCTTCACTGAATAAAGATGCGACAGCACATCAAAAGGATTGCTGTTGCCTTCACGTGTACATGCGAGAAGTCCACTGGCCACCTGCATGTACACTTGCGGGATTGTCTGCTTGTTACCTTGTGTGCGTCTGCATAGCTGCTCGTTTTCGGGGCTGTTAAATTTCTGCTGTTCGTCTCTATCTATCTGCTTCTGATGCTGTGGCTTGTCTCTGTCTAGCTCCTGCTGTAGGTGCGGATGCTGCTTTTCTTTGTCTGGTAGTTGCAGTTGCTGCTGCTGTTGCTTGTCTCTGTTTGCCTTGTCTATCTTTTAGCATAGTTCCCACGGAGCCCCCGGAAGAACTTCTCAGGGGGCCCATTTCCTTCACTGCAGCTTCTCACCACCCCAGCAACAACCCCACCGGACAGCAGCAACAGCAACAGCGCCAGCAGTAGCAACGGGAGCAGAGAACACCGAACCCCTCGAGGAGGTTGAGTGCAAGTTGCTGCTGCACTGCTTCCGCCCCGTCTTTGTTAAACTATTCGATCTCCTGCAGGTCAGCTGCCCTGCATGCAAACTGCCTCATCTGCTTCTGCTGCTGCTTCTGCTGCCCTTTTGTTCCAGCTCGTCCTTTTTGAAGGGCCCCAAGAGCGGGTACTGAGGGGCCCCTGAGGGGTTAGGGAGCCCTTGGGGGAATTCTTTCTCTGCATTGTATAAAAAACAGACCAAACTGAAGATAAAATAAGATAAAATGTCTCAACCGTTTTTCTTCTCCTGCTGCTGTCCTTCTGCTGTTTTCAAACAGAAAACAGCACCAAAACCCTCGGGTGGAGATGCCTTTGCAGATCCTGTAAGGCCCTCCAGCTCCGTAAAACCTAACCCGTAAACCCTAAACCCTGGCAGGAGAATCTGTGTAGGTCTGCCGAAAGATTATGTGGGCAACACGTTTTTCTTTCACTCGTTTTTACCTCAAACCCTAATTCCCCAGACGTTAAACTCTAGCCTCTAGTCTCTCCGTGGCTCCTGCTGCAGTGCGAAGATGACCTGCTGTCTTTGACTGCTCTACCGCTGATTTTGCAAGCCGTGGGGGCCCCCTGTAGCAGCAGAAGTCGCGTGTTTTGTACAAACCTCTGCAGGGCAATGAAACAGCAAATCGCCAGGTAATTAGGGGTTTTAGCAATTAGGATTTTGTGAATAGGACTTAGCAAGCATGGCTTGGTAGCAGCAGTCTAACAATTAGGTTTTACTAACTGGGCTCTTCCAGTAGGGGTATAGGGTTTTGGTTGTGGTAACTAGGGTCTAGTGATTAGGCAGTAGCCCTATTAACTAGGATTTATTAGCAACACATTTTAACATTTTAGTAATGATGTCTACTGATTAGGGTTTGCAAAACTAGTGATTGAGATTGGGGTTTACAGCTAAAGAATGAGGGGCACCAGCTTTCTGGTTTAGGGTTTAGGGTTTAGGGTTTAGGGTATCGGGTCTAGGATTTGGTATTTGACGGCTCAAGGTTGGAACCCGGATCGCCCTCGCAGCATCTCAATGAACTCAGCCTAGCGGAGTTCGAGATCTTCCTCTGTCAACTTGCATTCTCAAGTGCGCCAACCACTAAACCCTAAGCTTTAAACCCAAGAAAGCAGCTGCCACTGTAAAGCCTTGCCCCTCCAGAGTCCATAGTGTCCGCTAGCAGGCAATGGGTGACCCTGCCGACTTGGTACTTGCGACCGTAGGAGATGCAAGCTTGGCACAGGGTTGGAGGTTTAGGGTTTAGGGTTTAGATTTTAGGTTTTCGTATTTCCTGCTGCAGTGCAGAGCGTCTCGCCCCCCGCTATGATCTACCGCGGCGTTGCTCTGAGTCCGAAAACAGAAAGAGGAGCTCAGATATTTTCTCTTCTTTATCGCATCAAGCGTGAAGGAGGTTTGCTTAAGCGGCAGCAACCAATGCTGCTGTTGCTGCTGCTGTTTCTGCTGTTGTTGCTGTTCCTGTTGCTGCATTAGCAGCTGTTCGCGCTGCTTTTGCCCCTGACACAACCCACCGAAAGCCGTCTTCTTTCCCTCTAGTGGCTACAACACAGACCGCAGCAGCCGCACCAGCACCAGCAGCACCAGAACCCTCGGCAACTGCGGCAGGTCAAGCAACAACGGCAGGGGCAGCAGCTGCAACTAATGCAGCACGTTATAGCCGGCAGGCGTCCTTCGCGCGCGTTTAGTCCTTGGGTTTAGTGCTGTGTCTTGGCTTTAGGATTTAGAGTTTAGGGTTTCGGGTTTAGGGTTTAATTTTTAGGGTTATGGTATAGGGGTTGCTGCAGAGGTGCCTGGGTCGCGAACTTCGTGTCTCCCGCCCCTAATAAAAGCCTGTGAAGGCCGACTTGCCTCACGCCATGCATATCTACTGGTGGAGAGCATCAACTGTCTCCTCAGTGCAGGTGTCCCCATCCATAGACTTCCTCCAGGTCCACATAGACCCTAGCCCTAACACCTAGTCCTAAACCCTAACCCTAAGCGTAGTCTTATACTCTAGCACTAAACCCTAGCCCTAAACCCTAGCCCTAAACCGTAGCCCTAAACCCGAAACCAAAGTCTCACCTTCTTCTGAAGGCGAGACTATGGCAGAAATTACAATGATGGCGAAAACCTCCAACTCAGGGACAGCAGAACTAACAGCTCTACCGTGGTTGTAGCTGGCCACGGTTTAGGATTTAGGGTTTAGTGGGGCTGCAAGTGCGCAGGTCTCGGCCTTGTCGAGCAAAGGACGCAAGACGGGAAGACCTTTAAGTGAGCGTGCAATGCTGAACGAAATGACATATCTTAGGGTTTAGGGTTTACTGCTTAGGGTTTAGGGCTCAGTGTTTAGGATTCACGGTTTAGCGTAGAGATGCTGTAATTTTTTCGGCCTGCAGACAAGTGATTCTGCGTCAAGGCGGAGATCCAGCAGCAGCTGGAGCGGCAGCAGCAGCAGCAGCAGCAACACGCCCTTCAGAAATGCCTTTCGAAGACTCAGTGTTAGGGAGCGCTTCTCCTGAGGCAGTGCAGCAGTGGGCTGTGGCTGGATCGATGCTTCCTGGGGCGGTACGCAGACTTAATGAGGGCATTGATGCCGTTTAGGATTTAGCGTTTTAGTTCTTTGGGTAAAGGGTTTGGTTCTTAAGGTCTAACGTTTAGAGTTTAGTGTTGCGCTTGTATAACTTTCATCGTTTTGCGTGACCTTATTGCCCCTCTACTTCGTTTCTGCCACCCACAAGCCTAAACCCTAAAACCAAAACCCAAATTCCGTCCTGCACCCGCTGACCCTCGCGCTTAGATGGTTCCACAATTCCATGCCTTAAGGTTGAGGGTTTAGGACTATGGTTTAGGGTTTGCAGAGCCCTGGTGGAGTCCCATTCGTTAGTGAAGACCAGAATGCCTCCAGGGTTTGCACTGCAATGGCAAACGTCTGCTCAAAACAACTCCAAGAAATACAGACAGAAGCCTTCTGCAGGGCGGAGGAGTGGAAGAGAGTAAACCATAAACCCTCATCCCTAAAGACGAGTCCCAAAACCCTAAAATGTAGACTCTAGTGGACGGAAGAGTTCAAAAGCTTTTCGATAGTCCTCCGCCGAAACAGACGAACCCCACATACTCATGCCTGCATCTCAAGCCCTAAACCCTACACCCTACATACAAACCTCCAGAGGTCTAGCTTGTCTTTCTCTCAGGCAAGTCAAGAAAACAGAGCCCCGAGGTCACTAAAGGAGATTAGAATGCAGCAGATGCGGCTGGTGGAGCAGGTAACAGCACCCCTAGAGCTGTTGCTGCTGCTGCAGCTGATCCAGGTGCTGCTGTAGCTCATGATGCTGCTGCTGTAGCTCCTAATGCCGCTGCCTAAATCTCCTTTGCTATATTACTCCCTGAGTCGTGTGCATCCCAGTGCTTGCCCCAGGCTGCTGCTTGTGGGATTTAGGGTTTAGGGTCTAGTTAGGGCTTATGGAGTGCTGCGACCCTAAGCCCTCAGCTAGAGGCGTAAATGCCCTTAGTGCTGCTGGTGGTGCTGTTGCTGCTGCAGTCCCTTCACTGCGACGCGCAGGTGCAGTGCGTCCTTTCAGCTTCGGACAGGGCGGTAGGCTGTGCTGCTGCTCCGGCTGCTGCGATTAGTGCTGATGCAGCGGATTTTGCTGCTGGCTTTGCTGCTGCCGCTGCTGTTTCTGTTGTTTCTGCTGATGACGATATTGTGTTTTGCTGCCTTCCATCAGGGAATGAGGCTGCAGCAGCCAGCAGTGTGCACGGGGACGGGGAGTGTCTCCTCTCAACAACGGGTATTTATCTACTGCCTCTCTCCTTTTTCCACCTATTTCAAATGGTTGATTATATTTGCTGCCTCTGTCTTTGGCTCTTGCTGGTGTTTATTGTACCATTTTCCTCTCCTATGGTATACTTTCGTGAGTTGTTCTTTGTCCGTGTCTTTTGGTCCGTCGTCTCCTTTTATCTCTAGCCGTCTAGATGTCCATTTGATGCACTTCAGCAGCAGCCCTGCAGCAGCAGCAGCGCCGCAGAACCTCATTCCGGTGCTACAGCAGCTGCATCTTGGAGTCAGTTTGTTCTCAGCAGCAGTAGCAGCAGCAGCAGATAGTCAAGTTGCTTGTTTGGTAGCTTTTGTTTGGTAGCATAGCGCCGGTAGCTGTCCAGCTAGCCACCATCCCTTCTCCTGAGCAGCAGCACAAGCAGCACAACAGCAACCCAGCGCATGCTCCTTGTGCTGCACCCTGTTGCAGAGTTTCTCCGTCCGACCACAGAGGGACGCCGCCAGCCCCACCCCTTATCAGCAGCATCACAACAGTAGCTACACCGCCAGCAGCAGCGCCTGCGCAGCTGCACGGCGGCGGCTGCACAGCAGCAGCCGGTCCCCTGCGACAAAGAGCGAGCGGGAAGAGATCCGTCGGGCGCAGCAGCACTTGCTGCAGAGTCCAACGGTTCAGCAACTGTTTCAGCAATCTTCTAAATGCATGCAGAAGCTGTTCGATGCCTTTTCTGCTGGCTGCCCTCTGCCAGTAGCTGCTTTAAGTCAGAAGGCGTGGGGCAGGCTTTCCCTCTTCCTCAACATTGCCCCTTCTCCCCAGATGATGTGCTTCTTCAAACAAGGTGTCTTGCTGCTGCTGCTGCTGCTTTTGCTGTTGCTGAAAAGTGCAGAAGCAACGGCATATCCATAATGTATCCACTGCTTGTGCAGTCAGCTTGTCTCACAAGCTGCTGTGCTGTTGCTGCTTCCTTCCTGCAAACGCCACCGCTATCCCCAAGCAGTTGCTGCCGTCGTTGCTGCTGTTTCTATTTATGCTGCTGTTGTTTCTGCAGTGGCGGGGAGCCAAATGGACTTCGACGCCTTTCAGTTGGCCTTCTTCCAGCTTGCTCTGTCTGTCCACGACATCGATGCCAGAGTGAGCAGCAGCAGTAGCAGCATTAGCAGAAACATCTGAAACAGCAGCAGCAGCGATAACTGCACCAGAAGCAGCAGCGGCAGAAGCAGCAGCAGCAGAAGCAGTGTGTGCGTGCGCAGACTGCCAGTGAAGAGGCTGTAGGCCGATGCCTCTCCCAAATTTTGTCTCACTGCCTCCTTGACGACATTCGGGCTTTGAGAGACGGGCAAGGCCACCCCTGCAGCTTGCTAGCTAACTAGCTAACTAACTGATTAACTAGCTAACCAGCTAGCTGTCTGACTAGCTAACCAGTTAGCCAACTAAACAAGCAGTTTACCAGCTACTTCTCAACTAGCTAATCGAAAGAAGAGCCACCCAGCCTCAGATGGAGAGCCAAACTACCAGGTAGCTAACTAGCCAAATAGCTAGCAATCTAGCTCACCCACACACCGAGTTCGGCACCGCGCCTGTTAGCTACCCAGCTAGCTACTGCCGCAGCAACAGCAGCAGCTGCAGTAGCAGTAGGAGCACCAGAAGCAACAGCACCACCAGAAGCAGCAGGCTACCTTTACGTTTTTGTTGCTGTTTGTGTATGGAACTGTTGTGTTCTTCAGGCTGCATGCATTTCAGTCCACAGGGAAGCAGCTGCCCCCTCTTCTTCTCGATGACTCCGGCAGCATGCCAGCTAGCTGAGGGTCAGCTAGGTGCTGGTTTGCTAGCTGTCATCTAGATACGACAGCTAGCCAAGACTACCCAGAAGACTCAACTTGGTCGTGCTTGCACGCGGGTGGCCACAGCTAGCCACACACCTAGTGCAGTCAGCCAACACAGCGCCAGCTAGCCAACACGTGCAGGCAGCTCCGCGAGCTGTCCCGGGAGAGAAGCAGGCCACGTTTCGATTAGCTAGCTAGCTAGCTAGCAACCTGCGAAGTAACTAACTAGCCACCCCCATAGTAGCCCAGACCTTTTCCGGCTGTTCCCCCCAAATTACGGTCCTTTGGATCGCCGACCAAATTTGAAAAAAAAGTAAACATAATTCCTACAGTTATCTCATGCTGCTGAGGCTGCGGCTAGTGTTGTTGCCACTGCTGCCATTGCTGGTGCAAAACTGCAAAGCAATGGCAGGCCTATGTTAGGGGGCAGCAACGAGCTGAAAGAGCAGAAGCCACTGCGTTCAACTGCAGGAGTAGTGAGAACAGTGACCATATCCTACGCAGCAACAGCAGTAGCAAAAGATGTACATCTGAAGGCATGCAGCAACCGGTGCTTAACCTGCTGCTGATTTGTTGCTGTACAGGTAAGGCTGCTGTTGGCTCTCTTTAATTACACTGCGTTGCCGCAGCAGCACCGCTGCAGCAGGGCCGCAGCGGCACCACCGCAGCAACAGCAGTGAAGCTGGAGCAGCACATCAGTAGCAGCATTGGGCCGGCAGCACAGCAACAGCAGTACACACGTGGCAGGGCCGTAGCAGCAGAATCCCCATCTCCCAGCTGCTGCATTGTAGGTGCAGCAGTATCTAGTGTTCGGCTGCAGCAGCAAACCGTTGCCTGGAGGCTCCCCACACCCGCTGCTGACCACTGGGCACATACGGCCAGACAATTGCCCCCTCTTCTTCTGCGCTGCATGCGTACTCCCAACACTCTGCAGCTGCTTCTGCTGCACGTTCAGCAGCTGCCGCAGAGCCTGTTTTTGCCGCTGCCCCTGCCGTTGCAGCATCTCCTGCCACAACACGTTCTTCTGCAGCTGCGTCTGCTTCAGTTGTTCTTGCTGCAGTTCCTTCTCCTGGTGCAGTGGTTGCTGTTGCAGCTGACTCTGCCATGAGTTGTGTCACTACTGCTGCTTCCTTCGCAGGGGCTGCCGCTTCTGCTGTAGCTGTTCCCTCATAAGGCGATTTTGCTGCTGCCTTTGCTGCTGAAGCAGGCTCTGCAGATGGTGGTTTGTTTACTGCTTTTGGTGCTGTTATTCCTGTTGCTGCTGCCGCTGCTCTTCCTGCTGCTGCTGCCGCTGCTGGAAATGTGGCTGCTGTTGCATTGGGCGTCGCTGCTGCTGTCGAAGGAATTGCCTGTTCCGTTCTTGCTGCTTGTGCGGTTTCTTGCTTTTCTGCTACAGTTGCAGCCTCTTCTACTGTTGCTACTGCAGTTGCTTCTGCTTCTGCTTTAGTGACGCACTGGGCAACATACCTATTTTCGTCAGGGGCAGCAGGAGGGGTCGCTGGGGTGAAGTTGCTGCTGTCAGCTACACAGCTGTTGCAGGAGCAAAAGCAGTTGTTGTTGTTGCTGCCGTTGCTTTTTCTATTAGTGCAGCAGCTATTGCTGCACCAGTCGTTTGCCCCAACAGCAGCTCTGAGGACTGCTGCTGATGAGAAGCAAGCAGCAGCATCAGCATTTACACTAACAGACTGTAAAGACAGCTCAAGAGAGAGCAGCGGCAGGGCCTCCTCTTTTGTGCTGCAGAAACAGACATCCTCGCCTGCCTCAGTAACAAGCACAACACATTTCTGCTACTGTTATTGCTGCCGTTGCTGCTTGTGCTGCTGCTACTACTGCAAACTCTGCGTTAACTGCCTGTCTAGGTATAGTTACGTGCGTGCATTTTGTGTCTCTAATCATTGCTGCAGGTCTCTCTTTCCCCCTCCCATGGTATCTCTGTCTCCCTTTCTACCTCGTGACTTCACTGCCCCTTCTGCTTGCTTTGCCTTCCTTACTTTTGTTGTGAACTGCTCTCTTCGAGCAACGAGGACTCCCATTGTCGGGGGTACCCGTCGCTCCTTCAGGGGACACCGAGAGGCCCCCCAACACTCGAGTATTGAGTTCAGCTTGCAACTCCTGCAGCAGCTGCAACACTGCAGCCTCCTTCCCAGGAGGCAAGCCCATCAAAGGGGAGGGAGGGGGACCCCCTGGGGGCCCCTCTTCATCCTCACTCTTATCTAGAAACTCAACAAAGGCCATAGGAAAGGATGCAGTCTGCCTGCTGCTGCTGCTGCTGCCACAGCTGCAGCAGGAGCAGCAGCTCCGTTTGCCGCTGCTGCCAGATGGCCTTGCAGTCGACTGGCGGTGGTGTGAGTCTTTCGTTAGCTCAGAGAGAAGAAATTCCCTTAGTAATTATAAATAATTCCTTCTCTTGGTAGGAATCCTGACACCCCACAAGCCGAACCCTCTACGCTAAATCCTAAACCCTAAACTGGTGCTGCAGTAGGTTGCTGCAGGTGACTCCCTGTTGCTGGCTGTTGTTGAAGGCTAGAGCTGCAGAGGAGGCTGAAACAAGATGCTAAAGTAAATCCGCTTATACAGGAGTTGACTATTTCAGTAAAAAAACAAACATATGCAGACAAAAGAGGACGAATAACACAACAGACACCCACAGGAAGGCCGGCGGTGGCTTCTGCGCGGGAGGTCACGGTCGCGCTCTCCGTACACCGCGTTTTTGGTCATGTCCCTGGCACTGTCTATTTTTGAATAAATTAATGTAATTCGATTAATTATAATTAATAATGTTAACGCCGTCCACCTGCCTCTAAACCTCCACGCCCGCCACCCCCGAGCGCACGACTGGTGTCACTATCCTCGATACTGCAACACCAGGCGTACGGGGTGTACAGCTTGCTGCAACAAAAGCCCAGACTATACAGGCAGCTGCAGCAGCCTGACAGATGCTAATGGAACGCCCAGAAGCATAAGACCAAATTGCGAAGTGTACGTACACACTCGACAGACCACTGCCGCTGCAGAACTGGGGCCCCACACTCCCAGACAGGGTGCTCAGCGAGTGCAGGCACAACTGCAGCAACTACAAATCTCCCCATGAGTTGGTAGTACTTTTGTTCCTTCTTGGTTGATGAAGGCACACTGTTGCTATGCTGTACGGCCTGCCACCACAAATGGTGTTGCCGTTGCCGCTGCTGATGGTTCTGTTGCTTCATCTTACAGGTACTCTCACCCGCTGCTCCTGTAGCGCCTGCTGCTTCAACTGTCTGCGCCACCGCATGTGCTGCAGCTTATTTTTGCCTCCCGGGGAAGCTGCTTTGCCACCAGTTAACACGCTGCTAACATATACTAATGCTATTGTATACAATACATACTCTACGTACATCAGAAGCAAACAGCTACGGCCTAAACCCCAAACCCTAAAGCCCAGCATCTGAACAGCGTGGAGGAGTAACTCCATAAAAGTGTTTCTGATACATATGCCCTAAAACGATGAGGTGCGCATACACCCCAAAATACCGTTTTCAACGTCTGCACGAGGATTGCGTTAGGGTGTATATACATCAGGTGTACATACACCTTATACACCACCGTCTCGCTAAACACCCCGCTACGACGCAGAAATACAATAAATAACAAACGGCGTCTCTTTCCTATCTCCACAGCATCAGCGGCTAACACAACAGGAGGCAAAACAGCGAAGAACGTCGCTGATCCTAACTCTGCTGGTGTTCCGCTGCTTCTATGGGGAAAGACGATGAGAGTGCCGTTGCTGCATTTACTGCTGCTGCTGCTGCTTCTGGTACTGCTGCTCCAGTTTGCCTGTGGAGCCTACGGTGCAGGTTTTTGGTAAGCTGCCGTGCAGCTGCTCTGCCACCCTCATTGCAGCAGCAGCACCAGCAAACAGTTGAAAAAAGAACCAGTGTCTAGACTGGTCCATGCGTCGCTGCACCTCCTTGCCTCCTGAGCATCTAAACGCTGAAAAGGCTGCAGAGGTGCTGCTGTTGTTGCTGCGGCGGCGGGGGCCACAGCCACGGAAAGGCGCTGGTGCAGTGCTGCAGCACGGTTACCTCCAAGTAGGTGGCAACCACGAGCTGAACTCGGGTGCTGGAGAGTATCTGGAGCTCGTATAAACCTCGAGTACTTCTTCTCCATTGACGACAAACGATTCCTTCAGACACCCCGCGTTAATAGGGGTGCAACGCACTGGGGGCCTGATGTTGGTGGTGCTGCCGCACCGCCCCAAAGAAAAGGCCAAGAACGACAGCTGCCCGCTCGCTGCGCTGCTCTCCGCCGCGGCTGCCATCTCTCCTGCAGCAGTTGCTGCTACTGCAGCAGCCTTTTCCTGCTGCTGCAGCGCCGCACAAAGCGGGTCTGCTGTGTTGTAGAATCTGTTGAGGTAGAAGAGAGGATTCCTAGGCGTAGGGACAGAGAGAAGACCAAAAGGTCTCTCCTGGAAGGGCAGCATTTCCTCTAGCGGTAGCTTCTGATTAGCTGCAGCAGCAGGCATGCCGCTCCCTATCTCTACGTATGGTTCCCAGTCTTCGGGGTCGTCTGGAGACCTATCCCTTACCTCCTTATACCAATATACCCGAATAGCCAAGGGAGGGAAACGCAAGCCGTCTGCTGCTGTTGAGGTGTCTAGGGAGATCAAACCAAAAGGGGAGTTTAACGCTTGCTCCTCAAACTGCATGCACACCAGAAACAAAGCAGCAAAGCACACAATTAGCACTAACCGATTAGCTGTACACAATTAGCATTAAATAAATAATAACACTGCGCATCTCCGAACCTAGTCTGTACATCCTAAACCCCTAACCCCAAACCGTGCCGCTGAGCTTCGACTGATGCGCGCAAGGGGGCAGAAGAAAGGAGTTCAAACTGAAACACTGGGGCAGAAGTATGGAGTTCAAACTGCTGCTTACGCAGCTATATATATACCTTGGGCTTTTTATTGGTTTTGACGAGCCACGAGAGGAGGCTGTGGGGTTGGTATAGTTTGGGTTGAAGGAGCTCGTTAGAGGGGTTAAAGAGGTTACAGCTTTCTCTGACTCGGCCCTTGTCTTCCTTAGAGACAGTAATGGCAATATATCTGTCTCCTCTTAGCATGTCATGCTCTGCTAGAGACCCTACAAGACTGTTCCCAGCAAGGGCCCAGGAGACGCCTTTAAGGTCAAGTGCCCTTGTAATCATCTCGAAGAAAGCAAATATTCCGTCGTGCTGCGCTGCAGACAGCAGATTCAAAGGAGCACCGGCAGAGCCCCGCATGCGCTCTGCCTTTCTGCCTTCCGCTCCCCATACCTCTTGCAGCAGCTCCCGTCGGCCTGCGCTGCTCAGCCCCAGCAACTCCCCCTGTGCGTACGCCCGGGGGGAGCGGTGTAGCTCATCGCAGCGCTGCAAGTCTGCAGCAGAAGGAATAAAGGGGGCAAGGGCTCGCAGCTGCTGCAGCCGCTCCAGCAGCGGCAGGGTGACCTGCTGCCATAGCAGCAGCAGCAGACCTACGACTGCCAGAGACAGCAGCAGGCCGAGCCGCTGCAGCTGCTGTCTACTGTAAAGACGCCGCAGCCTCACGAACCGCAGGCCATGGTATCCCCTCACCCCTTGCGTGTCTGTCTTTGATGGCAGCAACATTGTATATTTATTCTTTGCATGCGGAGGAGCATTTGAGGGTTTATTGTGGCTGCTGTGTGCCATTAAAGGCACTTCCCCCACTGTTAAAGGCCGTGCAAACCCAGGAGGGACACGGGAAGTAGATGACGCTGAGGGCTGCATCTTCTACAGCTAGTCGTCCTGCTGATGCTGATGCTGCTGCTGCTGTTGGGGGCGGAGAAGGTATGACAGCCGGATCCCCCGGTGTTTGCAAGGAAGCCACTAAAACGAGAAAATTTTTTAAATTTAAAAAGAGTAAGGAAGGTGGTACAGGGCCGCGCACCTGCTGCACACGATGCTTCTGCTGTTGGTGCTGCTGGTGGTGCTGCTACCGCTGCCGAGAAGAAGGAAGAGAAGGAAGATGGAGAAAATGAGGAGGAAATCGACACAGATGACCTTGCACCGAAGACCACTGAAGACAACTGGACATCAGTGGTGCTGCTGAGAACCCGTACTTCTGACTATTGACGTTACTGAAGCTGGTACCTCTGTAGCTACTAGTCCCGTTGGCATATGCTGTTGATATTGTGGTTGCTGCAGCGGATGCTAGGGAGAAGTGCAAGGACGGGTAGGCGCCCCTGTGAGATGAAAAGGGAGAAAACGATTGAAGAGAAGACGATCTCAGTGACCCCAGCTCATAATGTTACTGATGCTGCCGGTGCTATCTCTGCTGTTGCTGCTGCTACTTCTGTTGCTGCTGTTCCTGCTGCTGCTGCGGCCCTTGGCGCTGCTGCATCGGCTGCGCTATGCGTCGCCGTTGCTCCTTTCTAAAGCATATGCTGCGGGTGTATGCATGAGAATATTGTGACTACACCAGGAAGAGTAAAAGAAGCGACAAGAAAGCCGCGGAAGAAGAGATCAATCGACGTGCCGAGCCAGACCAGCAGCAGCAGCAGCAGCACAAACGGAGCAATGGAAAATTGAGCAGTAGCGGGTGCTTCTTCAGATGGATTGACGACTGAGAGAGGAAATAATTAAACAGGAATAGGACTTAGGGAAAGAAGGGAATTATAAAACCATCATGCAAATGCAGTGCCTGCTGCTATTGCTGCAGTTCCTGCTGCTGCTGCTGCTGCTGCTGCTGCTGTTGCTACGATTTATTGTAGCCCCAACTAGCCACGCCGCATCCCTCCCCTTCAGGATCGGCGCCTATTTTTAAACTTGAAATGAATAAAAATAATATGATTAAAGTGAGTATGGAGGAAAATTTTTTATGTCATCTAATGAGCTGCCTATACACTCGAAACCTCCTATCTCGATTGCGCTCGACAACCGCACGCAGCTCCCAATTACTGCAGCAGCTGCTGCAGGTAATAGCTCCCTCTGTCTTTCTGAATTTTAGGTTAATGATGTTTATTTACTTCTATATACCAGCAGCACATTATAGCTTAATTAATATTCGTCGATAGCCGCAGTGTACACCCCAATACGCTGCCCTCTGCTGCGCAGCTGCCGCCTGCTACCGGGGTGTCGTCGCAGCAACACCACCTCCAGCAGCAGTAGCCACGAATCCCTGTTTTTGCTTCAAGTGCTCACTTCTGCACATCTAGCAGCCTCAATTCAGCGTACATGCAGGTAGGGTGCTGCGCCAACTCCCGACTAGCTGTTTTGCCTCCCAGTTACCACCAGCGCACACAGCTTAATGGCGATGCAGCGCAGCAACAGCAGCAGCAGCAGCGGCAACGGCAGCAGCAAGTGTCTTCCAAATGAATGGAGGAGATACGGACTACTAACAGCATGAAAGCAATTAAATTGACTCCCTAGCGTCTGCCATGCGTCCGTTGCTGCAAGCCCTGCCCTAGAGACACACGAGCATAATGTCGAGATTACGAGTTTAAAGGGCCACAGCCTCGACAAACAGCAGCAACAACAACTGAGACCCGCTGTGATAGGCCTTTGCTGTTGCCGCTGGATAGGGCTTTGCCTTCGTAAGACCTTCCCCGGTGCTGTGGCTGCTGCGGTGAGCGGGAACTGCTGCTGCAAACTGTGCAGCACGTGGACCCAGCACCCAACAGCAGCAGCTGGTGCAGCTAGCTAGGGATCTTGCTGCTGCACACTACCATTTTGCAGCAATGTCCGATGCCCTAACGAAGGCATAAACTTGATCGGCCATCTTTAGCTGGGCCGATTCTTCCATGTAGCTCGAGTAGACAACTTTATCTCCGACAGCCACCTAAAGCCGCAGTAGCAGTTGTAGCAGCAAGCATGCATGGTCTGCTGTTGTAGCAGTTCCCACTTAGGAGACACTGTTACAGGGGAAATGGCCCAACCTGCGGCAGCAGTAGCAGCAACAGTAGCCTCTAGGGGACGGGGGAGCAGCTCACCTCAACAGGCAACCTCTCCTGCTGCGCAGACGTCTTGCCACTACCCACAGCCACAACCTCAGCCTGCTGCATCGGCCGCTGCTGTTGCTGCGGCACCAGCAGCAAACCCCCGGCGCTCGTGTCCGAAGGCTTCAGAATACGGACAAACACTCTGCAGAAGCAGCACCACGACACACAAGCACAAGTACAAAAGCTACAACTTCGGGCACCTCTCCAAGCTACGCCGCAGGAGCAGCAGCAACAGCAGCAGCTGTTGCTGTTGCTCCTTCACGAGAGCACCGGAGGGTACGACTTGGCCCAACGAAACAGCAAACGCAACATCGTCCAATTACACCTATGCCACTGAAAAGGCATATGCTGAAGTAGTGTACATCAACAACTGCAGCTGCTGCTCCCGCAGTAGAGTCAGCAGTAGCACGGGCAGCAGCACTAGCACACTGACGTGTCTCCTAGAGGCTTAACATCCGCTGGATTCATCTTGTCTGGGTCCGTCACTTTTGCCAACAGTTCTTGGCTAGACATGAGCACGCATTCTGCCCCATCATATTTCAGCTGAGAAGCAGCAGCAGCAGCAGCAGCAGCCGCTACAGACATGTAAAGAGATTTGGTCTCCCACGGTGTTGCACAGCTGTAAAGGCATACTTGCACTAACCACGGCTACAGAAGTAGCTACCGAAGCAACAGCAGGCACTGCGACGGCGAACAACACATGTGCGAGACAGCCACGGCAGCACCAGCAACAACAACAGCAGGAGCAGCAGCTGTTGCAGACAGGCTAACCGTCTCTCCCGTATGCCTCCCGTATACCACGACGTCTCCTGCCTTGACTTCACAGGCAGTGCGTTTGCTGCAGCAGCAATGGCAGCAGCAAGCATGTACCACTTCTGTCTTGTGGTTTCTTGTCCCCGCTACTTCAGCGGCAGCGACAACAGCTCAGCAGCAGAAGAAGCGAAGCCCGAAGGGCCACGGGGAACACGCAAAGGTGCACACAACGGCAGCAGAGAGAACAACCAGCAGCAGCAACAACAACGACACCCGCAATGCAGCTGCTGCTGCGTGCTTTGTTGCCCCGTCTCATAAAGAAAGAGGAATCATGCGCTGCAGCAGCTGCAGAGCTGCTGCTGCAGCAGGAAGCATGGGGCACTTTATATCCCGCCCAATACCATACCAGCGATGTCCACCTCAATGACATCACGCTCAGCCGTGGCGGATAGCAGAAACAGCAACTGCTGGAAAAGCAACAATTACAGCAGCAGCAGCAGCAGCAAACCAGCAGCACCACCACCAAACCAGCAGCAGCAGCAACAGCAGCAAACCCAGTTTCTGGATCCACGCTTCCAGGCCCCGTAGCGATGACGCGGCCAAGGGCTTTCTCCTGGCGGGCCTGAGGCAACAACAACAGAAGCAGCAAACCTGCTTGCAGCAGCAGCAAACCTCACCACAGCAGCAGCACCTGCCAAAAGAACAGGAAAACGCAGCAGCCTGCAGCAGCAGCGCCGCATACTGGGGCTCGGAATGGGGTAATAGTAGCAGGGAAATGCGTGCAAGAGTACCAGCAGCAACAGAAACAACAGCATTAACAACACACTCCAGCGACAGAGACGCAACAGCAGCAGCACCACCACCACGACTCACCTCTGACGGCAGCAGCAGCCCTCCCTTCGTCATTTCTTCGGCCCCAAGCTTCTGCAGCAGCACCATCCCCCTAAGAGGCTGCAGCGGGCCCGATATAGACTCTCCGTCAAGAGAGTGATTGCTGTTGCTGCTGCTGCCCAGTGCCGTGTTCGCTACAAACAAAGAGAGAAACGAGAACGCTACACCGCAAATCACCCACCTGGCCTCCTGTTCTGCTGTTGATGCTGCTCGTGCTGCTGTGCTCCTTCTTGTGCTCCTGCTGCTGCTGCTCACCTGCGGATGTGGCTGCTGTGGCGGCACGTGGCCGAGAGGCATCCGACACGGAAATTGATGCTGGGCCAGCCTACAGCGGAAGCATCAGCAACAGCAACGAAAGCGGAGAACCACAATCGCAGCGGTACAACACTAGCGTTGCTGCGGCACCCGGAACAGCAGCAAAGGCAGCAACGGTAGCAGCACCAGCGGCAGCAACAGGAGCAAAACTGGCAACGACGACAGCAGCACAAGAACTCCTCACTCGCAAGAGCTGTGTTGTCTGACTGATTGCAAATGCTTCTGCTTGCTGCGCTGCTGCTGCTGCTGCTACCAGCAGCAGCAGCAGCTTACATTGGCGAGAATGCATCGTTAGTGCCTCAAGCCCTAAACCCCAACCCCTAAAACCTAAACCCTCAGACAGGGCCCCAGCTTGTCTGTAAGCAGTAAATGCTGGGAGCAAATACCGCCGAATAAATTAAATACCAAAACCCTAAAGCCTAGACGCAACACGAGGCTTGAAGCCACCCCACGTCCCCGTCGGCGGCAGCAGCAGCAGCAGCAGCGCAGCAGCAACAGCAGCGGCAGCAGCAGCAGAGGCAGCACCACCAAAGAAAGACGGCAACAGCCAGAGTAGAAGTTGATATCCTGCTGGCTGTAGCAGACTCTTAATGATGCTTAAAAGAAGGTCTTAAGATCAGACAACGCCTCATCCTATCAGCCCCACAACGAGTCCCAAGTCTTGCTGCTGCTGCTGTAGCTGCAGCTGCTGGGGGCCCCACCAGCAACTCGCGCTTCAACATGGAGCCTCCGATGCTGCTGCTGCTAAAGCTTCTGAAGCGGCTTCTTTATTTGAGGAATTAGCGACATATCTGCTGCTGCAGAAGCACTTAAAGGCAACAGCAGCAACGGCAGCAGCAGCACCAACTCTGTCCGCTGTCATATTGCACTGCCGACAGGGTGTCGGGGAGTCTTCTGCATATCTCCTCGTATCTCTGTTCTTTCTATTTGTGTTAACTACATCAAATATCAAATACAAAACCTATATTGCACACTTACTCGAAACTGTGCTAACGTCTGCAGCAGCAGCAGCAGCAACTGCTGCTGCTGCTGCCAGCGTTAGCTGGAGCTGGATGATGGTAAACCTGTTGCTGGTGCTGCCGCTGTTGCTCCTTGAGGCAGAGATTCATCCATTATTTCCCGTGCAAACGACCGCTGCACCATTGTCTGGAGTTGACGAAGGAGCAACAACAGCAGGTGTTGCTGCTTCCGGTGCAGTTGCTGCAGCGAACCGCCCAGCCCGCGCAGTTACTCCAGCAGCGTCAGCAGCACAACCACCTGGTACAACAGCAACTACGTCTACAGCGGGGACATATAAAAACATCTCCGCACCAGTGGTACAGGGAGAAGCAGCAACTGTTGCTGCAGCACCCCCTGCAGCTCTAGCAGCAGACCGAACGTCCCTGTCTGCCGCCGCACCTGCCGGTGCTGCAGAGCCCCAAGATTCCCCGTACTCACGAACTAAATGTAGCCAGCCGGCAGCAGCAGCTTATGCTGCTGCAAATGGTGCAGCAGCCGACGGCATTAAGCAGCAGCTGCTGCACCTGGTACTGCTGCCCCCCGTATCGCGACGCTTAGAGGAAAAACTGGAACAACTAAGTAGCAGAAGCAACGTCAATACGACCAGCATCATTGCAACCAGCACGGGCCGCAGCACTAGCACCGCCGTCAATAGCAACAGTTCGGATGAGAAGAACACCAGCACTCAAGAAGGCGGCGACAGCAGTGCAGGTAGCAGCAGAAACAGCAGCAGTGGAAGCAGTAGAGACATCGACACCAGTAGAAGCAGCAACAACAATAACAGCGGCGGAAGCAGCAGCAACAACAACAGGGGAAGCAGCAACACAAACAAGAGCAGGGCCAGCAGCAGCAACAGCAGCAGCTGGGCAAGCGAGGCAGGTGATGATCTCAGCAGCAGCGAAAAGGAGGTGGTGATGTCTGTGGGGCTGTTGTTGCTACTCCTAATTGTTGCTGCATGCCTGTTTATTTCTCTTGCCGCCAAACGCATGAAGCAGCTGGTGCTTCAAGTACCGCTGGTTGCAACCTTGCTTGGCTTGCTGCTGGGCGCGCTTCTGCAGCAGCACCACCAATTGCAGCAGCAACGCAACAGCAGCAGCAGCCTCCGAAGTATTTTAGCTCTAAAGGAAGAAGTGTTTTTTGTGTTGCTGCTCCCTCCGATTGTCTTCCAGGGGTACACAAGCCCTAATTCCCCATCCATTTAGCTATCTTTATGATTTTGTCATGCCGAGTTTAGGGTTTAGGGTCTGGACTTCGTAGTTTCTGGTCTGCTGGCGATGATTCCCACCGCAACTTCTTCTGCCGTGCCATGGCTGCGTCTGTTTTCTTTTGCGCGGTGTGTTGTGCCCGGGTTTCAAGCCTAAGCAGCTGGGTTGGTTGTTCGTGTGGTCGTCGTTAGGGTTTAGGGTTTAGGGCTTGTGTCTGATTGTTGTGTTTAGGGGCTTGGAGTTGGCGCAAAATCCTTTTGGTTTTGTCTTCGCAGAAAACTTCGGCAGCGTTTTGTGGTTGGCTGTGGGGGCGACTGCCTGCAGCTGTCTGCTTATAGGAACCCACATGCTTGGGGCAGGTACTGCTGCTGCTCTTGCTGCTGGTGCTGCATTTTTCGTCCTCGTTTCTGCTTTTGTTGCTCCTGCTGGTGCTGCTGCTGCTAAAGGATTTTGTGCTAGCCCGTGCTGCGAGTTTCGAATCTCTACGCTTCTGTGGTTGGGTGCTGTTGCTGTCGCCAAGCTGCCTGCTCCCTGCTCCTGTTGATTCTGCTGCTACTCATGCGCGGGCGATGGAAGGGGAGAGGGGTGGAGTGTTTCTGCACATTGTTGCAGCAGTTACTGCTGCTGCCAAGCTCACTCCTGAAGCAGCTCTTTGGGTTGGTGTTTGATTCGTTGCCCTTGCTTTCTTTGGTTTTGTCATTCTTGCTGCTGTTGGTGGTGGTGGTGCTGCAGGTCTGCTGCTTCCTGGGGTCTCTCTCACTCCACGCCGCGCATTTGCTGTAGGCGCTTTAATATCGTCTACTGATCCGGTGGCTGTGCTGAGTGCCTTTAGAGATTTGCATGCGAAGCTGCTGATACACGTGCTGGTAAACCCTAGGCCCTAAACCCTTTGCAGGGAGCTCTTAACACGCAGGAGCTGGCGGGACCTCTGTGCGTGACTGGATTAAACACAGCCGGCCTCCCACTTCCTGCTTTTGCTGCTGTTGCAACTGCTGTTCCTGCTGCTGGTTCTGCTGTTACAGCTGTTACGCCTGTCACCTTAGTTGCTGGGCAGCTAATATGGAGCCCTCGGATACTGGTGCTGCTGCTGGGAGCTGAGGCACTGCGTCTGCAGTCGACGACATGGCAACTACTGCATTGGGAAGTAGTAGAAGTAGATGCTTTTGTCTAGCTGTTTCTGTGCATCTCTCTTTTGTCAGGTGTTTGGGGAGAGTCTCCTTAACGACGCAGTAACGCTCGTCTTGTATCGGGCTATTGCAGATGAAGAGGCGGATCGAGGGTTTGCTGCGGCGGTGGCCTCCTTCATCTTTACCTTCTTAGCATCCACCGTTCTCGGATTCCTTACGGGAGCTGTTGCTGCCCTGGTATGCCGCTGTTGTTGCTGGTGGTGCTGCGGCTGCTAGTGCATGTGTCGGTGCTGTGCCGAATGGTAGTGTGCGGCTGCGGTGCTGCGCGCGTCGTCGCTCTCGCAACTGTTGCAGTTTTGCAGCATGGCGGCTGGGAAGTGTCCGTGTTGTTGCATGAGTAGGTTTTAGGATCTTGGATATAGGGTTTTTGATCTGGGTTTTGCACAGGTCTACAAACACATCGACTGGGACGAAGAGGGTGTCGCGCTGGAGGTGGCGCTGCTGCTGCTCTTTCCGTGGCTGTCATACCTCATTGCAGATGTAATCCAAACTCTAGACACCGAACCCTAAGGCTTAACAAAGAACGCTAAACCATAAACATTACGGAAAGCCTGCTGATGCTCAGTGTTTAATTTCCCTCCTCTTGTTTTTGGCCTGTTGTCTTCTGCTGCCTCCATCATCACTGATCTATACTGCGTTAAATTACCCTTTGGGGTTTGGTTTGGGGTTTTACGGCATGGTCTGTCGGGTTTGCTTGCATTGGGTGCCTCGCAGGGCTGTGGGGGGAGCGGGATCGTCTCCATCTGCTTTTGCGGCATCTCCATGGGAAAGTATGCATTTGCGAATCTGTCAGAAAAAGCTCAAACAGCATCACGGGGTGCGTCTTGAGGGGTGCATATAAGGGAGGCCCAGAGGTGCCCCCAGAACCTCCGGGGCCCTGAGCATCTCACCTTCATACTGTGGCTGCTTCGTTTGGGGGACGGGCTTCAGCAGGATTTGGTGTAGGTTGTGGTGGGTGAGCTCAGCTGTCTTTGGAGCCTTTGCTCTCTTAACCGAGTGTCTTGCATTCGTCTTTCTGGGGCTGGCCCCCTTCTCCTTTGACTTGCTGCCCTTTGAAGAAGCCGGCCTCTTTCTTGCTGGAGGCCTCGCTGCTGTTGTTGCTGCGCGGTGAGCCTACACCCGACACTCTGCTCACACAGCCCCGCTTCTGCCTCTGCAGCCGCCGCGTATCTATAGGCTCAGCTTCAGAAGCAACAACCATCAGCTCCACTGCATCTACATCACGTTGCTATCGCTGCACGTTTTTCGGGGATGTAGCGGAGGCGTGCCGGGGGTCAGTGGTTGTTTCTTAGGGTCTGAAAGTTTAGGGCTTACGGTTGAAGGGCTTAGGGTCAGGTCAAGAGTTTGTGTATTCAGGGCCCTTAGTGTATACTTGACCTGCTTTCTTATGAACTTCTTTAGAGGCCACAAGCGCCTGTCGATAAAAGAGCAGCACGCCATTGCACTGTGTGGTCTTCGGGGAACTGTCGGTGCGTGCAAACAGTAGACATACGTATGCGCACATACGCAAACTTAAGTGTCTTTATGTAAATAACTACAGCGTATATACACACAAAACCTCACAGCATTACGGTTACCGCCGTTGAGGGGGCCTTGTGGACTGCAGGAGTCATGACACGCGCTTAGGGTTTGTTGCTTGTTAGGGTTATTGATTTGGGGTTTAGTGATTGTGGCTGTGCGTGGTTGTGTGCAGCCTTTGCGCTGGCGGAAAGGGCTCATCATGACTTTGGTGGGCGTGAGGGGAAGGCCATCCTTACCTTCACGTTGGTCGTGGCGTTGGTGTCTGTGCTACTAATCAGTGCGCCCCACCTGTGATAATACACTTGGGGGTTGTAGTTAAGGGTACAGGGGCTACCACCTTTACCAGTGCCTCCCGCTTAATACTCAAAAACTTAGAGTGTAGGGTATAGGACTTTTGGCCCGAGGTTGTCAGTGTTCAGTCTGTTGAGGCTGTTGCAGCAGAAGTAAGTTGTAGTGTCATAGTTTAGGATTTTAGGGTTTATGGTTTAGGCTTTGTGCTTCTGAGTGCAGCGCCGGCGCTGTTGTTCGCCTTGCGGCCTTTGGGGATATTTTTGGACGAATCGGATGGGTCGATCGAGGAGTCGCCAGCTAGGGAGCTTCCGTTGAACAACACCAACCTGATAGGCAACGCTGGAACTGATGTGATGACGCAGCAACAGCAGCAGAATGATATTACGAGCAGAGCTTGGTGCAGAAACAACTGCTGCTCGCTTCTCCGGTGGTCACTGCGGTTGCTTGATTCGAAGTATGCCCTTAGCGCGTTTCCCGTTTCCCACAGGTCCCACTGCAGTTTGTTACTGTAGTACACTGCAGTATCCTATTCTTCATTGTTCGTTCGTCCATTCATCAGCGTCATTTATCATTGTTCATTTCACCTCTTCGCCTCTGTTTGCGTTCTTGGTGCCGTGCCGCTGTATCCGCAGGTACTTGACGCCCTTCTTCGCGAGTCCCTGCCGGTCTCGCAGGCAGACAAGAGATCGCAATGAGGAGGTTGAGCTGCAGCACATCGCAACAGAGGATAAGGAGCAGCTGCAAGAACGCGAGCAGCTCCGGAGACGGGGCAATGAGGTGTATGTCAACCTTCCACACAATACAGAATGTACAGCCGTTGATTTGGCTCCTGCAGCTGACCTCGTGGGAGGCGGCGATTTGTTGCAGCAGCAGGCGGGTTTTTTAGATCAGCGAGAGCAGACGCAGTGAATGCAGCAGTCGCAGGAGGCTGCTCTCTTCCTGCATTATAGGTTTCGTGGATGCGTTGGGAGTTGTTCAGTGAACTACCTGAGAGTGGCGCACTGCTGCTGCTGCTGCTGCTGGTGTCGCTGCTGCGCCAAATGCAGCAGCTATCTCCTTTCTGTCTCTTTTGTATTAGCGCAGTGATGGCGGCAAGCCAGCTTACTTGTGGCAAATAGAGCAGCAGCAGTTGCTGCTGCTCTAAACATTTGCAGGTGGAGGCAGGAAGAGACTAATGGCTTGACATGCCTAAGAAAGTGCACGTGGGCTTTCCCATAAATTCACCACAACCCAGCAATTTTGCTTTCGCTGCAGCACGCAGAAACAGTGATGCGACGCGCTTAGCATATTTTCATTGAAATATGCTGAAATAAAGCCTATGTTGTAGCCTACTGCCTGCCCGCATGCATTCAATTACGGGCCCTGAGATGAGAATACATACGTAAGTCGGACGCATTGCAGCAGCGTATCAATGCCTCGCGTAGGGATCCCACTACTAACTAATCTCTATTTCGTGCCAACCCCAAATGGTTGACTCTCCGGTAGACCTTAATACGCAATGGCGTTGCACCGGCTCTCAATCGCGTTTCCCTGCTTCTGCAGTAAACGATTGGGCACAGGTGCGCCACAGGCACCGCCACCGCGGGTTCCGCTCCCGTGCAGCTTCAGTAAGCTAAGTCGTAGTTTAGGGTTGGGCACTGATGAGACAACTTGAGAAGATCCTTTCAGATTTTCTACCTTTCTGGAGGTCAAAGATCTGCATAGCGAAGCACGCGTGTGTATAGATGTAGTACATGTATCACTACTGGCGTGTAGGCTGGTTAATAAGGGTCAAGGCAGTACACAGTTACCTGCACTGTTAGTCCATGCACCACAGACGACTTGGTTATGCGTGTACTCGGTGCCTTTTCGTAGTAGTAGTTGCAGCACTGCGCTGTCAAACCGCCCCTCTAGCGTCAGCCACAGACCTCTAGACCGCTGTGCGCAGGTTGCCTGTACATTGAGTGTATATTGGCTTCCTTAGGGAACTCCTATCATGTGTGACTCTACTGCAGCTCACGACGCTTCCAAGCTACAATCCAGTAACCTTCTTGCACTCGGTAGCACCGCATTGTTCATTGGAGCCGTTGAGAGCGACCACTACTGCCCACATTGCGTGCCGTCTTATCGCCAAAAGTTGGGCAACCCTATGGCGAACGAGACGTCCCTTTTATAACTGCATTGTTACTTGTGTAGAGGAAGATCCCTCCTCTCTAAGTGGTCTCTAGCGCGAATCGACTTTCTGCTGTAGGCCACGTCCCCTCCTCGACCGACAGCTCAGCATGCACCGATGCCGAAATCCATTCAACTTTTCTCACCTCTGCAGTATGAATCCCATCGCTGGGGGCTCAGCTGGGAACGTCGGGAAGTTGTGATAAAATTCTGAGTGTAATCACTACCTATGTTGGTCAGCAGCAACTGCAGCAATAAATAGGACGAGCGGCATGGGGAGACGCAGCGACCCATGCAGATTATGCCACATCGTTCCCTCCCTCATATCCCTAATGTACATCGTCCAGCTACACTTAGCATATCTGTTCTACTTGTCCCTCCGGCTCGTTCACCCGCTAGGCTGCTCCCAATCGTCTATAACCGCTCGCGTCCCATCGCATATCCAATGCGATGCGCATGGTCCGTAAACTACATACGAAATTGTTTATGAACTCCTTGGCTATTCATGTTGTCCTCTACCTACTTTGCTCCCGACTGTCATCACATCTGTATTGCGCCTCGTCCACCTACAGCTGGGAAATTCGTGCGTGTATGAACAACTTCTGTGTCCAACTACTTCTCTAGCTGTGCTGTGTACCCGGTTGACGCTGCCCTGGGCCTCCCCGTAACCTGACAATAATGCGGCTCGTTCATCTGCGCCTGAGTCGACTACAGCTACAGCGGCGCAAGCAAATGCGTGCGCCCTCTTAATATCTGTTTGGCTGTTCCCTCAGAACGCAGAAGGCCTGCTGCCGTGCTGTTCCGAAGCACTTTGGTCTGCCTCCGTCACTGGCATGTGTACCCACGCGTGCGTGGATGTCTGTGCCTACTAGCCTGCGCCTGCCACTGAGTTCGTGTGTGGATGTCTGTCTCCTACCGTCTGCCGCTCTACGTCTCTTGTTGCCTACCTTTGTCGGGTTTCACCATCGGGGCACATGGAAGTCCTGCAGGTGTCGAAGCACCAAACAGTCATTAATAAGAAGTAGCTCAAGCGTTCCCATAGCACCGACTATCTCTACAAGAAAACACCACAACTGTACATCACACGAAACCGCATGAGCTTTACTTCCACCTGCTGTTGTTGCGTTGCACAAGCAACGACGCGCGCTAGAGCAAAGCCCAAATTGCAAACCACAAGCACACATTTCCTCTTGAAGAGCAGGTGCTGTGTAAAGCAATCAGTCATTAAACAGAGGATTTGAAGCGGTCTGAGCGTACACACACGGCGAGCCCTATAAAGTTATCGTGAGAAAGAATTGACTCAAAATCCTACACCTTATGGATGGTTGCGAAGGGGCCGTTAGCTAGCCGGAGTAAGCATGAACGGCTGGAGAGGAGCAATGTAGTCCAGGAAACAAAGTGCGTTCTAGCAGAGCCACTAAAAAATACATGCTAACGTACCTGAAACATCACTGGACGTTCAAAGAGGTGGCGAGCGTTGGGTGCGGCCCTGCCATCTGCACGCACAGTTCGACCACTAGAGGTGATCTGTCAAGCCTCTGCGTATAGCTTTCCGTGCAACAGCATAAACCAACCGATGGAGTATACAAAGCCTGTACACTCACGGTAGGTCTACGGCTGGTTGGGTTTCAGCCCTTGACGTTGGCGTTTACCCAATTACATACCTTGAGTGGCAGCTGCAGGGGCGGGAGGCTGCTGTGAGGGAAGCAGCAGATTGTTTCCTGTTGCCGGCATCCCAGTCGGACCTCCGGTTTGCGTCGCTGCAGCAGCAACAGAAAAAGCAGCAGCGGCAGCAGTGAAGACTCGCCTCAAACGGCACAACTGCTTCACGGACACCCACACCCCTTAACTTTAGAGCCGTGATGCTAATGCCTGCAGTATAGCTTACAGGGAGGTGGTGGCCCGTTTGAGACGCGACCCGTTCCCTGTTGCTGCCTCAACGGTTGCTGTTGCTGTCTCATTTGCTGCTGCTGTGGCTGCTGGAGGGAAGCTCTTTGCTGCGGCCCAGACGAGGGTGGCGAGCTTCCAAGCTGCTGCTGCGCTGTAGCTCCGCGCTGCAGCTCACGAAGGTCCGAGTCGAACATGGCGTCGATCGTGTCGAAGTTCAAGGCTGCAGGCAGCAGCAGCCACAAGAGCAGCAGAAAGGGAAACAGCAACAGAGCCGTCAACTTAGTCTGTCACGCCGTTCTGTTCCTCTTGTTTTACACACTGAATGGCTTACCGCACCAAGGTGACGGGGCCACTGATAGCGACAAACACGCATGAGCACCACGGAGTAGGGGGAAGTAAAGCAGCAGCAAAACATCAAAGCAGATATCGGTGTTTTGCTTGCCTGCAATTTGGGGATCACGCTGTAGCACAGCCGCAGCCTTCTTCAGAGTGCTCAATTGGGCCATAAGAGACCGCCGCTCTTCCACGATGTGTGAAGGCTGCAGCAGCACCGGCAGCCGCAGATGAAGTATCGTTACACTGAAGGCACCGCCCTTCTTACAATGAACACTAGAGCCCGAACCAGCGAATGCATGCAAAAGGCGGAAACACGGTCTGGCATGTTTGCGGAGACACAGGCGGACAGAGGGCAGGGCAATGGCCGTCAAAAAAGGTGCCCGACCGCAGAGAAACGAAGCACAATCCATCAAACACAACAAAAGCAACTCGGTGAATACAAGGAACCGTAGAGGCCAGTCGAAGTTTTTGGTGGCATTCGGGTGTCGCACCTCTCCCAAAAGAGAAGAAAACAACTGCTCGTCATTGAGTTTATTGTACAACTCAAACTGCAACTTGTCCTGCAGCTGCCGAACCAAGAAGAAACCGATTTTCTTCGGGACCTGCAGTCGCGGCAACCGCAAAAACACGAAGGATCCTCAACTGCAGCAGTTGCAGCAACACTTGCACTTGGGCGGAAAAGGACAGAGACAACCCCTGTGAGTTTCTTTCTCATACTGCAGAATTCTGCTCGAGTTGGGAGGGTTTGAATGTTTCATCTGTATCCAGATCATCGTCTGTCATCGCCACAGTCGGAGTTAGTGAAAAAACTTTGTTGGTAAGCCTTACTGTGTCTCGAACATTGTGCAGCACCAAACCGAAGTAGGCATCCAGCCGACGCCGGATTTCTTGAATAAACTGCTCTAAATCACAGCATCAGCAGCACTGACAGCCACCCCAATATCATCGAACCCTCCCCTACCAGAAAACAACGGAAACCTGCAAAGGAACCCCAAAATATTAGCCCTGCTAGCGGTTGCAACAGCTGAAGAGCGAAACAGCAGCAACGTCATGGCGAACCACTGTAGACGGGTTTTTTCTTGTCCTTCGATGCCCATAGGGTCGACATCTGGTTCTGCACTTGCTGCAGCATCTGCTGTGCCCGCTCAGCATGAGAAGGCTGTTGCAAAGGACGCCCGTCCGGCCCTATGCCCATCTGCTGGTGCTGCTGCAGCAGCTGCTGCTGCTGCTGCAGCTGCTCCAGAGTCAGCTGCTGCTGCGTAATCATCGTGCCGTGGTCTTGAAGGTATCTGAGGAAGACGGGAATCACGAGCAACAGCAGCATGTCACAATCAATAGGGGGAAAATCGGTAGCGGAAAGAGGACGCTAATGCAGCTGTATAACGACTCCAGAGAAGCGAAAAAAGCGTGCAGCGATAAGACGTATCGGCAGTAGCAAACCAACAACAATAACATATGCGCATGCGGGATACTGACCGTTCATCGTTCGTAAACAAGTAGCCCATTTCTGCGTCAACATCGTGCTGCAGGATTTCCCGCGTTGCTTCTTTCTCTCTTATCAATATCTCCTGAGATATTTCTAGGACGCGCTCTGCTAGGGCTGGGAAGCGACAAAAGACCCTCTCCGCCACACGCTGCGCCAGACTCTCCAACGTCTGCGCCACGCGATCTGTGATGCACGAACACCCGGAGTCACACAAACATTAAGTGCACAGGCTGCGCCCGATGTACCCATCTCGCTGCTCCTTAACGAAAGAACAGACAGCTACAACAAGTGTTGCAGTAGCAGCAGGGAAGCAGAAACACCAGGTGGCAGAGCTGACTCACCTAGGCAATCCATGACCGGGGGAGAGAGCTTCTTCAGGTAAGGAAGAATGAGGTGCTCAAAAGTATCCGGAGATGGAAACCCCGGGAGAGACTCTCCTTCGTGAAGTCGTATCGCCGTTTCCACCTGGCTATCCGTTATGTCGTCCGAGATGTTCCTGTCGCAGTATTCATCAAGGAGACTTGTGTACTCGTGTCGAATGCACGATCCAATGGTCAGGCACTGATCCTGAAACAAACACAAATCCACGAGCACTTAAGACTTGAAGAGTCCCTTACGAACACAAGCATTCAGTACAGTATCACCCGGGCATACGGGCAAGCGCATACAGGCAGAGTAAATCTCTGTCTGGGTGTCAGCCCTATATGCACACCAGAGAAGATTCCGGTCAGCAACCACAGCATAAGGGGACAACGGAATTCCTACATAACGGTGGAAGGGAGGCGAATTATGAGCACGTCTTAAACGGGCCTTAGCCCTGGTAGAACAAAAAACGGAGCACGATAGCAAGGGACCACCTAGGAAAGACACTGTTGTGATAGAACGAGACTCTCGGGAAGTGGGCTTCCTCCAGAATCCATGTGGAGCGCTTTTTAGATTACCTGGTCAAAGTACTTCTGCAGGCGCTTGTCATACTTCCCCCTTATAGCGCTCTTTATCACCTCGACGTAGTCGGTGATGGCTGTCCAGAGCAGCTGGGCCCTGTCCCTCGACTCAGAGGGGACACCCTACGCAACACAAACATGAAACACAACGAACTTCGAGGCTTGGATCACGATGCACGAACAAGCCCGAATTGCAAAGAGATGCGTAAGCTCAGATGTAAACTTCAACAAGGGACAGCATGTGTAGCACCAAGTGCGTGTTAGTAGTCGCACACACATGAGCAACACGAAATGGAAACGCGTCTATGCAATTACATGTGTGACACACTTGTAAGAAACGCATGCACACGGGCAGAGTACAGATACGCTTTAACATATTTATGCACAACGAAGGCGCATAACGATCAGCGCATGAGCGCAAACCACCGGACCAAAACGGATGTAACCTGCAGAAGCGACTCAGCGGAACCAAAGCCATTTTCTTTGGATGCAGACGCGAAACAGAAAGGCACAACAGAATAAAGCCTCCATAGACTATAAGAATAGAAACACGCGAATCCAGCGCACGGTCCTGCAGGGCAATAATGCGAGCTATACCTCTCCCAGTTCTTGGATCCGCGATTGCACTCCCCGAGCCTTGAGTTGTATTTCCTTTCTTATTTCAGGCAGCACGTGCTTTATGTGCAAAAACAGTACACGGGTCAGCTTCTCCACCAAAGAAGGGATGCCCCAGTACTGGGAACCCATGTGCCCATACACTGGATGAGTCTTAAAGTACTGTCGCTCATCTTCCAGGCAACTCTGCACACTCTTCCCTGCCTTGATGTCTGCTTGAGATCGGTTCTTGACTCCTGAGCGCATATGCATCATCTGCGTAAAGAGAGTTTAAGAAGGCATTTATTACTGTTGCAGCAGGAAAGTAGGCTCTAATAGCCGTTTCCGTCGTGCGCCCCACACTCAGGGCATACCCGCACACTCTAATATTTGGCTGAACATGGAGCAACCCACTCGCCTATCCATCAACAGTATCATAGCTACATAGCTCAATTAAAGGCAACTTCGCGTAAAAGTACTGGGAACTGGCATGCCTGTGTAACCGAGTCGAAGAGGAATTTCCTCGCCCAAAAGCATCTTGCATGCGTCCGTTCCATTGTCCATAAGATCAACCTTTGTGATGACACCAATTGTACGCACACCGCGTGGGTCAACTCGCCGGGCCAACTGCAGTGCGTCGGAAGTCGACATGTCTGAGCAAAAGAGAGGAAAAATGTGCGGGCGACGAGGAGGTGTGCACGAGACCAAGTACTATGACACAGCTGTCCAAATACGTCAAGTGTATGCCATTGACCCACCCGCATTGGCTGGTAAAACCGCCAAAATTATAGTGCGAGGGTCTGCTGCGTATCTGCAGGAATAATCGGCAGACAATGATTGACACAAAAGCAATAACAGACACGCATACACGAAATGGCCACCACATTGGAACGGCCACAACTTAAACAACAGATGCAAGCAAAATTTTATCAATTAGTCGAATATACGTGGCAAGAGACCAACATTACACGAGCACGTACACGCTCGTGCTGACACATGAACGACGCTTGTACCCAGAGCGGCAGGGGAGAGTAGATGAGCATGATCAAGCATCAAGTAGCCTTTGCAAGCCTAAATTCTCGTGACATCCCAAAGTGAACCGATACACGCATACACACAACATTAGTTCCGCCGTTCACTTGTCAGCAAAGACACGAAGAGCACCAGTCGCATCATCACAAAATGAGTGCCGCACAATACAGTGTGCATGCATGCGTGCAAGCTTCAATGCATTGCACTAGTAAGATATGCATGCTCGCAACTGCATGTCCAGGCGGGGGCCTGCATCATCATGTGGAACCCAAATAGAATTGCTTGCCTGAGAGCCATCTGCCGAGTCAGTGCTTCGATGTCGTCTGACTGGTCACTGCCCTTCAGTGGCACGCGGGTAATGCCGGGAAGGTCAATTAAAGACAGGTCAGGACAGCGTGTGGCGTATACAGTCAATACTATTGGGGAATCGACGATCCCTTTATTCTTGCCTGACAATAACACTCAAACGAACAAAGACGAGAAGCTGACGGGCAACAGGAGGGACAACACCTTTCAAAGAGATGCAGGCCCAATATACAAGTACGCTTTTAGCTTCGTCATTATTTTTCCCCGCCTCTAGTGGTAGTGTACTACGTCATCCCCTCTGTTTGCAGCATAGCCCTGCTTGCATCATCTACCCCTAAAGAAATACGCTACCCTGTCCGCGTGCATTGAACAAACTCAAACTTCCGGGCTGAGAAGAACAACAGATGCGTTGGCCTCCATAGAGACGGAATCTGCACCGACTTGACGACAAGTGGTTGCATGCAGTACCCTAGCATACGAGGATGATCATGCACTAGAATAAAGTCAAGCCCCACCAGCGACTTCATCAGTTAGCCGCTCAATCTCCGAGCGGACTTCGTCAAAATTCTTGAATTTCCTGTCCTTGCAGTTGTCGAAGACAGCGAAGGCCTCTTCAGGCCCGTGTTCAGCTGACACACGCCATGAACACAGACACAAGTTTCAACATATTCTTCCTGCCCCTTCTGCCCATGGCAACAACACAAAAAGCCTGCGCTCGATATACACAGCTCGAACATGCTCAGATATAACAAGAGCTCAAAGGCGTAGAGACACACATTAGACCGGTCACGGCCTAGACTATCAGGCTGTGTGCGTACACTCCGGTAAATGAACAAGCCGCAGCTCCAGCGGCCTTCTCGTAACAACTCCATCTCCCCTAGGAAGAAAATCGACGCCGACAATAGCTTCAAGAACTGAACTTTTTCCTGAAAAATGCAAAGGAGGCATTCAAAGAAGGTGCTTCGTCCCTTTGCCCAAGCATGCGTACCCTGTGTCTCTCCACCCAGAGCTGGGCAGTAACCACAGACAAGAATATAAGAGTGAGGTACAGGCATATGCCTCGTCCACACACCTGCTGACTGCGTTCCTAAAACGCAAATGCGAGGCAACTGAATCCACTGCTGCACGCCACAGTCCCGGAGTTCGTCCTGAAACATGTAAGCACAAAGACGCACAGCTTAATCCACTAACACCAACTAATTTTCGGGCAACCGTCTCATGGATACAACCAGGGGCATACACTGGTTTGGTATCTAGCATACACAGCTTGGTGCGCCTCCAGAAGCAGCAGATGCACCGCCTCAGCAAGCCTCAGCAACGTATCCAGAGTGAATGCCCAGTAGTCCACACGCCACAACCACTTAACGTGCACATTTGCGCGCTCCCCTCAGACAAGTAGAACAAAAATATACACTAGGGAAATGCCAAAGAAGGCGCCAAACGGTCAAAAAATGATATTGGCGGCGTTAAAAAGCAACTGTTGAGATATTGCCGGATCAGTGCGTAGCATCACGTGCCGCCGCACGAGTATTCGAATACTTAAAGACAAATTATTGTGGACGGCTGAAGGGCGCGTGTACTCATTCCTCACCACAACATTAATCAGCTTCCGAAGTTGGTGGTACATCTGAGACTCCAGTTTGCCACCATCGCCGCTGGCAGTGCTGGCGGTCTCTGACGTCATTTGGGGCCCATTGAGATGTTCCATCTCAAAAGGCTACGCGGCACGGGACACGAGGCAGAAAGAGTAAGTTAGAGAGAGAAGGCCTGGGCGCAGCAACGGCGAACCGCCTACGGTCCGCGGACTTAGCTGAGGGAGTGCGAACCCCCCGAACTCGATGCCAACGTCAAGGTGGGTATTCAAAAACAGGAGAAGTTTGTCAAGTGCTGTACGGGGGAAAACCCGCAAAATGACACGAAGACACCCTAGCAACCCCGTGGGTCTTGCTCAGTCAGGCTCATGGCACGCGGGGAAGAGGCCTAAACCAAGTAAAGGAAACGGAAAGGCAACTATCTGCTTAATTCTTGTTGCTTTTCAGAATTAAGCAGAAAAGTCTTAACATAATCCAAGAAACCTGACACCCTCTATTCACGCACGGGCGCAACCTACACCCAGGCGGTTGGACTGAGCATGCAGTGAACAGCGTGCCCAGCTGTTACTACGTATAACTCTTAAGTAGTTCAACATGGTGCACACTCAGCACCTATAAGCTAGACTCAGCTAATCTCTGCTAATACCACTTGAATAAGGAAATAATCACTCATAAAACATATTCGAGTCCATATTATCCAGGAAAAACCTAGAATAATAGAACTGACCGGCTGGCCCCCCTGAGAGGGTCTGAGCCAAGACAACAGCGTTAGCCTCACGGTCAGCCTTGGGTCTCGGGTACGCGGATGTGCACTCTTAACTAATTTGACCACTTTTCTATCTAAAGAGTTCCAATATATAAGTATTTATATTTCTCATTGTTCCCCTTGGTGAAATTAGCTGGACATTTAAGGTTACCACATGCGCTCTATTGTAGTGCGCGCGCACTACAACTTCCCCCCTTGTCCGAACTGAAACCGCCTCCCTGTATAAGTGTCTCCCTTCTAGTAGCTTGTATTAGTAGACCTAATGACTAGCTTCCCTAACGCGGTGGCTGTATTTATTTGTGCCCAGCTACCTAGTACGCATGCCTATAGTGTGGTATCACTGCGCGAGTGTCTCTGTGGTCCTACGCTAAACTAATAAATATTTGGATGACACACTAGCGCAGAACTGGTGCTCTAGCACTCCTCCACCCTTCACAACACGAAATACTTACAACACGCCAGACAGTGCGTAAGCACGAATCTAAACGGGCACAAGAACTGTATGACTCGTAGGGGCACTGCTGGGGTGTTCTGGCGCAGTCCCTTAGTGTGGCCCCCCTTTTTCGTTTCTGCATATAACAGACCTACCGTGAGCTTACCCCACCTCTACTTCACGTGGGTCGGTAACTGATCTTACTGAAGATACCACTCCATTCTTTGAGCGATCGACGAAACAAGTCTGAACGCAACTTCACAAAGTGCAGGCCCTTTCAAGAATTCTCCCGTGGAACGCTCTCGTCCACCCCACGTCGTCGATCTCATGACGACCCGATCCTTGCGCATCTGCTCGCTAGTGACCTCCATAAACATACATGCTTCTGAAGGTCGGGGCTCCTTCAGTTGTAAACGATCAACTTTCTCCTGAATAATGAAGCTCTTAGAGGCCTGCGTGTCCAAGGACGCCTCGCATTAGCCCCTAGCCACTTACACGCTCAGAAGTGCGGTGGTTCCCACAATGCGGCATGCTCCGAACCTATCAAACTCTGCGGCCTCACCAGCCTCTCGCCACCATAGCCGCTTTACACCCTCGCCAAACGGGTTAGCGGGCGCTCCCGCCCCTTCTGTGCCTCTTTCCAAGAGCTCGTGTTCTGCTTGCTGCGTCTCTTTGACTTCGTCCCTAGTGGACTCTACATCAGGGTGCACCCCTGTCTTCTGTGGGGCCTCCTCAGAGTCTGAAACCTCTTCCATTAAGGATCTGGTCTCACGTATTATCTTCTCTACTTGTTGTGTCTCGTTCCGCATCCCACGGTGACTGGAATGGCATTAGGTTTTGTTGCTACCTCGCACAAGGCCCGTGTACGATCATATACATAACGTACATCGGGTCTCTTAACTGTCGTACTGCCTACTACGGAATTCCCCTCCGATACCTTCTCCACTCTCCGTTTCGCGTGTGGCAGCCCACGCCGCCTCTGCTGCCTTCTGTTCAGCCTCTCATCTGCAGATATTATCCTTGTGTTAAACCTGTTCGGTGGCTCCTCGTTTAAACGGCTAGCTATCTCATTACTAGCACGTGTGATCGGCTGGCTATCCCTATTATCTACAACTCTTCGTGCCGATGTTGGGCAGTCTGTAGCGTAGTGTCCTACGCTCCCACACTTCTTGCATAATTTTCTTTTGCGATTTAGGGCCTCGTTAAGCGACGGGGACTGTCGTAGCGAGTGTTTCCTACCCTTGAATTCGCAGCAAGCATTGTCACGCAGGTCACGCCGTAATGAGGGTGTTGCCCATATTTAGCCTCGTTTCTCATCGCGGTATGTTCTGTTTCGCCCTCGTATTTGTTGCATCATTATTCTGGATTGCCTGGCTTCATCCAATACGCCCTCTCTAGTTCCCACGAATTCCTTCAACGCCCTGGCGGCCTTCCGCCAGTTCTGGAAGGTTTGGGTTGCACTATCTGTTAACGCTAGTAGGAGACCGTCAGGTATATTGCCTTTGAATACCTTTAGCGAGTCTGCTGATGTTAGACCTTCTCCCTGGATCGCTACAAGCACAAGTTCCACTGCATATCGTACCAGATTATCCTTCCACCGTATATTTGCTAGTCAGATCATCATCATTTCCCCCGATTCACCGAAGAATCTTCCCAGCATCTCCCCTTTAACCTCTTCCCAATTACTGAGACCTAGTCCGAAGGCCATTAGGTAGAACCAATAATTTATTGCCTTCCCCACTAAGTGTCGGGGTATCTCGTTTCCTCCACCTTTCACGTGATATGCCTGCATCGTCGTGCTCAATATCCACTGAAAGAACGCTCTCATGGTATCCCCATTTTAATGAGGTAGCTTGATTTCACGTCTAGTAGGACTACCTGCTGAGCATGTACCACGAAGCCCTTTCTCGGATCCGATGGCGTTATCAGACATCGTAATTTGGATGGAGTGACTCATCGTGTGCGTCGGGCAAAGGTTTGCTGGACTGTGGTGAGGTCCATGCTCGACGGATATGACATATGTACCTTCTTTGGCTGGGCCTATTTCACTTTCCGGCGCATGTCCTGACGCTCTCTTCTCGATGTTCTGTCTCAGTTTTGCACCTACGAGCGTGCTGTTGCACAGGTGAACCTATCTCTGATCGTGTAGGTATTGTACCAAATCTACTCAATAACGTCTGTAGGTTAGGATCCAACATCCAATGCAAGGGATCTAGGGTTATACTTCCCGCAACAGCCCCCAAATGTAATGAACAGCGTGCCCACCTGTTACAACGTATAACTCTCTAGTACTTCAGCATGGTGCACACTCAGCACCTATAAGCTAGACTCAGCTATTCCCTGCTAATACCACTTGAATAAGGAAATTATCACTCTTATTCGAGTCCATATTATCCAGGAAAGCCCCAGAATAATAGAACTGACCGGCTGCCCCAGCGGAGAGGGCCTGAGCCAAGGCAACTCCTGCGTTAACCTCACGGTCAGCCCTGCGTCTCGTGTACTCGGATGTGCACTCTCAACTAATTTGACCGCTTTTCTATCTAAAGAGTTCCAATATATAAGTATTTATATTTCTCATTGTTCCCTTTGGTGAAATTAGCTGGACATTTAAGGTTACCACATGCGCTCTATTGTAGTGCGCGTGCACTACAGCAGAGCACGAGCCCACCAGCTCCCATCACAAGTATTTCCGGCCATGTCTGCAGGGAAAATGCCTTGCTTTCCCTACACTTTAAACATTTAGATCAACTATATCTTCTAGTGTTATCAGTGCTTCAGGTGGCCATTTTTCTGGTCCCTACGGTGGTTCGACTCAGGCAGCCTGGCAGGCTGCTCCCGGCATTTGCTGATGCACGGACCGCAAAAACGTTCGACAGTTTAGCGGTATGTGAGTTAAGTTTCTCGCACGTTTCTGAAAAATCAATTGGTCCTCGCTCACCAAAGATGAAAGATTCCAGCAAACGGTGGACGCCACCGCATTCTCCTGGTGCCACCAGAGCCTAGATGTGCTCTTCCCCGCAGCGCGGCACTGTTTTTTGGCACATAGCCGGTCAATAACTGCATGGTTCCATTCTGATGCTAATTTTTCCCCTTGTCCCCTGTTCTCTGGCAGTCTGTGTGGCGTTCGCAAGTATCTCTGAAGTGGGCGCTTAACGCTCCCTATTAACGGTCCGAAAGCTGAATGGCATTTCATCGGCCTATAGTCTTTGTATACGCAGCTGAGGTTTGTTTGTGTTCAAATGTGGGGCCGTCATGCACCGCTAGTTGCAGTGAGGTACGTTGTAATTCATTTTCTACCGCGCGTCTTGGATCCTATCCGAGGACTATTTTGAGACACATGGAGGCCAAAATGCTTGTGAGCGCGGGTGGAAGGCGGCTGACTTCCATTTCCTGTTTCCAGGAGTCCTGAGCCCAGGAGGCCAAACTCGTTGAGCTGCGGGAGAGGAAGCAGAGTGACATGAGTTGCAACGCCTTTTACTGCAATTTGGGGCGCAAGATGGGCCAGCATAAACGCACGCACCAACTCTCGTGAATTGATGTATAGGCACTGTAGAGGATTGTTGAGAGTTATTGCGTGTGTACACCTTCTCTAGTAGGGCCGGGTAAGGGTTCATCTGCCCACTGCAGACAGCCTTGTCTCCACCTAACAGTCCATTGTACGTGTGCCGCACAGCCGGAGAAGCAGCGTACTTCCTCTTGAGCCACTCTAAACCTGCAGGACTGCATTGACATGCAAATTTCTGATGTAGCTGTGAAGCTTAGGCGAAGTTAGACTGCTTGTGTTGCTCCACTCACCGCGTGTCCGTCGAGCATTGCCTACAGCATCTGGGAAACGAGGTGCTCCCCTAGGCTTCCGAAGACTTGGTGTTGAGGGGGCCGAGAAGAATACCGCTTACGAATATGAAAAAGTCGTTGGGTCCTGCCGAGATTTGGTCGTTTATTCTGTTGCCTTTGTATGGTGGAAGAGCTCGCTGGTGGCATAGTAGGGCGCCTATAGCATAGCAAAAGAATAGTTGGCGCACCTGTGCAGATAGTGTGCGATATTTTGGGGCCCACTTAGTTGTAAAACAGGAACTATTAACAGATACTTAAATACTTCCTAGACCCTAAGCTGTTCTGTGCAGTCTCATGACTCCTGTAGTTGCTGATGTGTCAAGGAGTGCACGTAGGCGTTCATTAACAACTTTTTCGTGCAACGCTCGTCATAATCCCTTCCAGAATGTCGTTAACCTGGCCATCGGTCCTCTTTTCGGCATGTGGAAGTGTTGTGGAGATCTCAGATCCGTCTGCTTGTGAGATGCCACCACGCTGCTGTTAACCCTCTACAGGTGAAGGCCGAAAGGAGTTCGGTGAATCGCTGAACCGTTTTAAAAAATCAAAGTTACTTTTAGGATGATGCCTTCAAGCTTACGATATGTCGACTGGGTACCTTAATTCACTAACCCGAGAGCGAACAGCAATAGGTCCTCTGTGATGTAATTCTTTTGGCTTGTAGCCCTCCTGTGCTCTCCGGAGGGGGTGCAAATCAATTGAAACTCAGCGGCAACTGGTGAGTGCAACTGCTGAATGTCGTTTCTTGCAATTTCTTGCCTGGACTTCCTGTTCTTCTTTCATGATTTGTTGTAGTGCTGCAAGCGGTGTGGGGAATTCTGAGGCTGGCGATAAACGGTGCTGGCTACCGCCTGCCATGTCTATGGCCAGGTCTGCAAAAGGGTCTCTGGATGTAGATACACGATGCAGGAGAGCAGCTCGTGGACATCAGCACTATTGTATCAGACACGCATTCCGCAAAAGGGGAGAATGAGGCCACTCCGTCGAATGATTCTGGCTGTAGAGTTCCAAGCACTCAACCAGCCGACCCAGCGTGCGGATGGTGCGATCTGTCTGGCCGTCTGGTCGATGATGGTTTGCCGTGGTCATGTTACTGTGTCTGTTAAGCGAATTCATGATGTCTTGGCAGGAGGCGGTGAGCCAATGGAGGAGGAACCATGAAACCCTCTCACTGATGACAATTTTCGGGAAGATACGAGGCTCCCAGACATCATAATGAATTGTTGTGCCACTGTTTCTGTTGAAACCGAACTGAAATAGGGGAAGAAGGGAGTCTGCTTGCTTATCCTATCCACTGCAGCATCCACTGCAGCGTAGATGCTTCGTAACTTCTGAGCGATGATAATCCCACAGCGTTATTCATTGAGAGCTGCAGCATGATCCGTTTGCGAAGAGGATGGCTAAGTCCACGTCCAGTTTTGTACCATAGGAATTCTTCCATGGCGTTGTAATGCGTTACCAGCCCCCATTTTCGAGGTTAGCCATACCTGCAGCCGGGTAATTATCTAAGGAGTAGAAAAAATTCAAATTTGAATCGAAGAGTGGGCCAGCACACACATGTGGACAGAGTGCGCGGCCGGTAGGGCATTGGGGGAGCGTCTCAGTGGAGATTAAAGGAGCAGTGGACGTACCTCAACGTAAAACGCGTACTGCACAAACGCCTTCAGCCATCAAGGAAGGCTTTCACTGTTGCAGTCTTGAAAAATTTTTCGTCAGGCATGCCTGGGACTGGCTTTCTGTTTTAGCAATGAACAAACTTGCGAGTACTAGTGTTGAACGCACTCTTGCGTCTGCCATTGGGATGGCGGGCAGTTTGGCAATCGCCTTTCTGCAGGAGTTATAGGCCGATGAAATTGGTTACGGACTTCAAAAGGGTACAAAATATGCAGAGCATCTGCACTGCTAACGTCTATGAAACGGGCCTCCTCCCCGGCGAGGGCAAGGATTGTTCTCCACACCCGTATTCTGTCCCTACCAGGCGGCACAGAAAACTGTAAAGCGGGTCCAAGAACTCATTTGAAGACTACTGTGAGCTGACCTTCCTTCCCAGTCTCCGGGAGTCCTGAGCTCAGCCAATCAAACGCTTGTAGGTTCGGGAAAGAAGGCACCGTATCGTCAGTTGCAACACACACTGCAGCAATTTCCGGTTCAAACTGGGACAGCACAAAAGCACACACAAGCCTTCGTGACTGGCTATACAAACAAGGTAGATGGTTGGTGAGAGAACAGTTGCTTGCGTACCGTTTCTTTAATAGGGCCGGCTAATGGTTGGCGTGCCAGCTTCAGTCCACCTGGCATGTTTCAAGATGTAGGTAGTTCCCAATGTAGTACCTAATACCCAGGGCCGGATTACCGCATGTACCTGTTTCAAAGTCATATAGAGAATGCAACAAAGCTCGACATACCTTCGTCTTGAATATACATTTGTGTGTTGCAGTTACCTCAAAGCTGGACAGTGCGCTGCATTGGTTATATTCTTCTATAGTCTTGCCTATCGAGACGGATGCAGCGGAAGGCCGGACACGGTGCTGCGTTCTGGAATCTCTATTGAGAACAAGCTGTCCGTACAAGGCAACAAACAGATTTTGAGAAGTGTGCAAACGAAAGGAAGTCAACACAATCGAAGATCACAGGGAGACGGCGCCACTAGTTCGCTGACCGGCGCCGGAGCAGCAACTCGGCGAGCACCTCTGCGAAACCGACGGGGTATTAGGTTTACCGTTTAGGGTTTGTGGGGCCGCGGACTTGGTGATCATAAGCAACCGCGGAAGACAAAGGATATTGTACATTAACACATGTCTTTCTAGAAAAGATAGGAAACAAGGGTGAGCAGCAACAGCAGCAGCAGCACCACCTGCAGCAGCCCCTCTGTCTCCCTCCGCAGCAGCAGCACGGCACACCCCTCTTTTGGCGCAGCAGGAACCCTCGTCCGCCACTTAAACACTCACATTTATCCTATTTTTAGTTTGTTTTTCCTAGGTTTTTAATTCTTTGTGTGTGTCCCCGTAAGGCTGCTTCTCTAGGCCAACACCGTGGCAACAGCAGCCATCGACAGCAGCAGCAGCAGCAGCGTGTGTCAGATTGCGTGCTGCTGCTGCTGCGAATGTACCTCGACTGTCCCTTTGCCTGGCAAGCAGATACAGTAGCTATCAGTCACCTTTCTGTCTCCTTCTGTCTCTTTATTTCGGCCTCAGACTCGGCGGTAGCAACAACTTCTACAGGCTAAGGAGTCGCCTCCCCCCAGCTCGCGCCCCCAGCAGCAGCCGCAGCAGCGGCTCCTGCAGGCCCTTCGGTAGGTAGGCTGTGTACCTGTAAATGAAAACAGAGTGCACTGCGGGCAAGCACGAGTTGTCTTCTGTCTGTGCATGTGTCTTTTTCTTGGGGGACGGGCGAGGGACGCCAGCCATCACACCAGCAGGAGCACCGCCAGCAGCAGCGGCATCAGCAGCAGCGCAAAGACAAGCTCCCGGCAACGGCAGCAGCAAGAGCAGCTGGAGCATCAGCACTTGGATTCTTCTGCCGATACACTTTTCAGCACTAACACAGTATTAAAAAGTTGTTGCTGCAACGATCAAAACTTCTCAAATAGTCTCGCAGTTCCGTGGGCGTGCCTTGCCCCGCCCCCCAGCTTCCGTGCTGCCGCAGCTCCTGCTGCCTCTGGCGCTGTCTGCGTCTCCTCTGCTCGTTTTTTGCTGTATTTTGTAGTTTTTTCCTTTGGTTGTCGGTGTTTCCTCTTCCAGAATTAGCAGAGGCGGCGACGGGCGCAGCAGCTGCAGCGGCTGCAGCAGCGGCTGCAGCAGCTGCCGCAATATCGACGTTTTTGGTGTTGTTTATTCCCTGCAGGTGTAGAGACACATGCCTTTTGCGGGTCATTTGGCCTTGTCTTTGCGCTGAAAGAGCAGCAACCGACGCACCAGCAGGAGCTCCACCAGCAGCACGAGCAACTGCGGCAGTCAGAGCGGGGAAGGATGCCGAAGCCAGCCTTACCCCATCTTCCTCTCAAGGACATACATCGGGCTCTGTTGCTTCCCCCACAGCAGCAGCAGCAGCGGCAACAGCAACCATGCTTGACAACCGGCAATGAACAGCCGCAGCAGCAGCAGCAACAACAGAAGCAGCAGGACCTCGACAGCATGCAGCGACAGGTGGGGCTGGTTACGGAGGCTGATCTGCTGCGGGTTCTCAAGCAGCTTGCTGAGTCTCCTGTTCTAATTGCTCCGCAGCAGCAGCAGCAGCCAGAGGAAGCACAGCAGCAGCAGCTGCTGCTGTTGCAGGAGGCGGACGTCGCTGGAGGTGGAGGTTCAGGAAAAAATGCACCTGACTATCCTCTCTCTTGTCTCTGCCAAACACAGGGCGTAGGGGGGGGCCGAGGTTGCAGCCGGTGCAGCGGTAGCAGGCAGCAGCAGCAGCAAGCTGCTGCAGGCAGGACCCTACATAAGAGACAACACAGGCAACAGCAGCAGGTGCCCGAAAAGCAGCAGCTGCAGCAGCAGAGTAGCGGCCAGCAGCAAGTCACCGCAACAGGCCGTCGCATGTCGGGCCTCGGACGGGGCCCCGTGGAGCAGCAGCAACAGCAGCAGTGGATTGATTTCGGAGATGCGCTCACCTTGCAAAAACAGCTTGACGCTCTTGTGCGTAACGCCCTTGGAGGCTTGGGACCGACTTCAGGCGATAGTTCACCTCAACAGCAGGAATGGCAGCAGCAGCAGCAGCAGCAGCCGCAACAGCAGCTAGTAGGCGGCATCAGCAGCAGTAGATTCGGCCACTACACTTCAGGAGATGTTACACCCGCCAGCAGCAGCGAATGTCGCACCCCCCAGGGCACAGCCTTTTCCATAGAGTCCCCAGGGGTTGCTGCTACGTTGCAGCAACAGCAACAGCAGCAACAGCAGCAACAGCAGCAGCAGCTAGACGATATGGGGCAGTCGACAACAGGATCCCTACAGGGGACCACTGCCGTTGCTGTGAGTCTTGCTCAGCAGCAGACCCTGGAGCAACCCTCTGTGCAGTTGTTGCTCCTGCATTGGCTGCCCACTGTGCTGCATTAGCTGCCCACTGTGCTGTTACTGCTGTTGCGCTGCAGCTGGCGCTGAAGGCGAGGGAGCTGCGTGACGCTCTGCTGGGGGAACTGCAGCAGCATGGGCTGTCGGCGGAGGCTGCAGCGAGCCGAGCAGCAGACATTTTCAGTGCTGCTCTCGCGCTCACGCGGTGCTCAACGACAAAGCCAGAGGCAGGAAAGAACTTTCTTTCTTGGTTACAGGGTAAGGGCTGCAGCACCAGCAGCGGTGCTGCAGCTGGTGGCATGTACTGCAAGAGCCTCCCCGCATGCACAGTAGAGGTAGCTGCCTAAGGCGCCTGCCTTCGTGTGCGTTGGCTGCCGCTTCCGGCGCGGCGATGTTGCTGTTGTTTCTCCCGATTTTTGTGGCTGTGGAGATTATATTCTGCTGTTGCAGTGTATTGACATTCCTACATTTGGTTCTTCTGCAGGTGTTGGCGGCCCCAACTTTGCTGCTCCTACGATGCTAGCACACCCAGACGAGTTTAGGAATCCCTCTTCCTTTCTCAAGATCTACGGGGACCCCATGTGCTGCTTGGAGCAGCAAGCGCACCGCGCGGGTGGCGGCCCGTGGGGTTCTTCAGGCGACAGCGCTGCAGCAGCAAACCCCATTCGAGGCCGCAACGGCAACTGGCTCTGCAGGAGCTGCAGCAATGTGAACTTTCCCAGGCGCTTCCGCTGCAACAAATGTGGTGCCCCCAGAGGGCCTGATGGCGACGCCGTAGTTGCCGAGTACGCAAAGCAGGTGTACAGACACCACCTGAACACGTTCAGGCTGCTAGCAGAGAGTCGAGGCGGAGACACTCCGCTTAAGAGACTCCGAGGCAAGAAGAAGCAGCAGCAGCAGCAGCAGCAACAGCAGCAGCAGCAACAGCAACAGCAAAGAGCTGTAGCTGCTGCAGTGCTTGGGCTTGCTTCCTTATCACGCAGCAGCAGCACAAACGACAGTCCCACCCACCAGGCTAGACAGCTCAGGGCTCCGGTGCTGCCAGCATCGCTGGCGTCGACAGTGTGTGGCCTTACGGGTAGCAACAGCAGCAGGAACGGCCGCAGCAGCAGCAGCAGCAGCAGCAGCCCCTGCCACTCCCTCTCCCTGGGTGCAAGCGAAAACAGCCCCTTAAATGCGAGTACCTGCAGCAACAATGCAGGCATTCAGGCAGCTTCAGGATCCCCCCAGGCAGCAGAAACAGCAGCCACAGGGGAAGACGCATTGGCTTCATCTGAAACTGGAGCAGCCGCAGCAGCAGCAGCAGCAGCTGAGACAAAGCTCCACTTCGCGTCGCATGCTCTCCACTGAAGAGCAACAAATGTGTTCGCTGCGGTGTTGCAGCAGTGGTAGCCGTGCAGGTGTACAGACACCGCGTTCCCGCTGCAGCGCGGGTCTGAGCTTCCTCCTCATCCCCCGCAGCAGCAGCAGCAGCAGCAGCGCCAGCAACCCGGTTTGAATTGGTTGGTCACAAATGTGTCTTTCGTCGTCATGCATCAGCTGTAGACAGTTTGTTCTCGTGTTGTTGCGTAGACTGCAACACCCCGCAGCAGCAGCAGTTGCAGCAGCAGCAACAGCAAGTTTCAGGTGTACATACACCGCGACTAGCGGCCGCGCACCGATATGTTTTTTGCGGCTTTTTCAGCAGCAAGCGCAGGAGTTTGCTGCTGTTGAGAAGCAGGTCGACTGGTCCGTTTGGTCACTCCATTGTACTGGATTCGTCGAAGATGGAGCAATGCGAGCAGCAGCAGCAGCAGCAGCCGCTGCAGCGGCTGCTGCTGCTGCCATTTGTGGTGGATATCTACAGCACCAACAGCAGCAGCAGCCGTACCAGCAGAGACTGCACCGCAGCAGAGCAGTGCTGGTGCAGCTGTTCCAGAAGGTGGCTGTACATAGAAGGCCCCAGGAGGCCTCTTGTGAGTCTCGTGTGCCAGTGGTGCTGTAGCACCACTGGCAGAAAGCAGCAGAACGCAACAGCAAGAGTATGCTGCTGGTGCACAATACATTTTATGGCCCTGCCTTCTTCGCTTGAGGAGAGGAGGGTGTCTCCCTAACACGGAAGTTTTGTGGCTGCGGGAGCCGTAGCCAAGTGTGCCTCCGACGGCAGCAGCAACAGCAGCAGCGGCGGCGTCTGGTGCAGGTGCTGCTGCTGTTCTTGCTAAGCTGCATAATGTCTTACAGGAGGAGAGAGGGAGACGAAAAAATATACACGAACACATTAAGCGTCATGTTGAGGCAGAGACTGGTATTTAGCGTAGATGTATGTGATCAGCTAGACAGATTCCCAGGGGAGGTAGCGGCGTGATGACACAGAGGCGGTGCATTATTGTTGGTCAAACCCAGGCTTTCATGGCAGGCGTAAAAACGACTAGAGAAATGCAGCAGCACCTATATAGTGGTATGTGGATACAGATTAGCGTACCAAAGACGGAGCTGGCAGAGGTCCCGCTTCCCATGCCTGCTCAGGCCGTTCTAATGGACGCTATCTGGGATGCTAATAGATGCTATCTGGGATGCACGCAAACGTACCGTACACAGGCGGCAACAACAGTTTTTGTTGATAAACAATCTAAACTACACTATTGATGGCAAGTGGGGGGAGATGGAACAGGTGAAGAATTCGAACGTGTGTTAAGGTGGACACAAACGCCTCCAGCTGGTGCTGGAGTGACGCGGGAACTGCACGCAGAAGACGGTTGCTGCTGAGTTCGAGAGAAGTGAGGCAAGGGATAGCGTTTACTAAACAGCCTGCATGCCGAAGTTGTGGTAGGGCGGCAGTCCCTGTGACAGCAGGTTGCATTCAGTAGCTACACCGGAGCGAGCTGATGCTGAACAAAAATCTGCTGCTGCTGCTGCTGCTGCAAGCCACTGCAGCACGGGGCAGCAAGCCGACGGTGTTGCGCCGGATATAGCTGTGCTCACCTAAAGGGCAAGGGCAACACTGCTGCAGTGCTGCTGCATGCCGACTGCCAACTGAGCTACCAAGCCAATCATATAGTGCTGTTCAATTCCAGCTCAACCATGCGCACCTTGAGGATTGCATAAAGCATTTGCCGCTCTAGAAATGTGTGGTGGCTGCTGCGCTTGCTGCAGCAGAAGACGGACATATTCAGCAGCAGAATGCAGAACAGCGCTGTTGGTACTTTGTAAAAGCGGAGCTCCACTGGAACTCAACCTCCCACTGGACTAGGGGAGTGGGATGAGGCGTCGAGGCCAGAGTGAATGGGCCTGTCACATGTGTTCATTCGTAGACCCAATGTGCTGTTTATAGCGATGTTTACTAATAGAATTGTGTTGTCATAACATACTAATCGATATGCTTGTTGGAAAAGTCACACTCTCTCCGTTTACAGTGGGTTCTATTCCTTGCAGCAGTCAGTCCCTAAAGTGACCTCGAGGGGTGGGTCCTGCTGCTAATGCTGCCGTTGCTGCAACTGCTGCAGCTGGTGCCACTCTCAGCTGTATCCAGCATGTTAACATAAAGGAATCAAATCTCTATAAGTGAAAAACAATAAAACAGACAAACTCCGTTAAAGGATATGGGGATGGCAGGCACTGGCCCCACTACCGCGCTGTGCTGCAGTGGCAGCGGCTACAGCACTGCTGCTTCCGCTGCCGCTGCTGCTTGTGCATGCAGTCCTATTTCTTTCGCGACCTCTTCTCCTTCATTTTGGCAAGACAGGGAAAACGTTTATTACATTTGGAATTGTTTAGTGACAACATCAACAGTTGTTGCGTTCGTAGACACAGGAGACCAGAGACTTCCCCCCTCTTTCGTGTTGTTGCTGCTGCTGGAGGACACGAGAAAGCAGCAGCTCAGCCACCCTCTGGGAAATGCCGCCTTCAGGGGGCAGGGGTTTAGTACACGGGCGAGGACGAAAGGCTTTGGCTGCGCAGAGACCCCTGAAGGACCTCGGCTGCTGCTGCATTTGAACGAATTCTATAGAAGCCGCAATAGCCGACAGCACGAGCAGCAGGTAGAAGCAGCAGCGGCAGAAGAAAATGCTGCGCCGAACTGGTGCTGCTTCCCAACGGGGGAGTGCGCCTGAAGGTGTTCCCGCCAGCAGCAGCAACAGAGCATCAGACGACAGCAGCGGCAGCAGCAGGCGGGGCAACAGCAGCGGATATTGGCTCCCCTCGTGGTTGTGCTTGAGTGTGTCGTACTCGGTATTGCTGATGCACTTGTGGAACAGCTATTCGCTCCTCCAGAAGGGGCCTTCTCACTTTGCCTCCCTGCAGCTGGTGCTGCTAGCAGTTAACGGGGTCTACATACTCGCCTTCCGGTCATTGGCTGTGCAGGTAAAATGGCAAAAACAGACATTGCCACTTATTTTCTGCTGCTCCTGTCGGCATTAACTCATTTGAGCAGAGCTGCTGCTCTGCCATCGTGCAGAGCAGTGTATGTGCTGTCCTGGGTTCAGTTGCTGCTGCTCCATTTGAGCTGTTGCTGTTGCGGAAACTGCTGCTGATTTTGCTGCGTTTGTTCCCCTTCCAGTTCAGTTGCTGCTGCTCCATTTGAGCTGTTGCTGTTGCGGAAACTGCTGCTGATTTTGCTGCGTTTGTTCCCCTTCCAGTCTTGATGGAGGCAGCTCATGCACTAGAGGGATGAGTTCCTGCAGCTGTGTAACATGGAGTACCCACTGGGCGGCCTCGGCCCGTCTGTGTCTGCTGCCCGTCAGTAGTATGTTACTGAGTTCTTTGTCTGCCTTTGTATCTGTTTTGTTTTTTAGCAGAAGTTTTCTTGTGTGTTTGCATTTTGTTTGCGCTGCACCCTGTAGGTGGATGCTTTGCTGGGGCCCCGCACAGGCTTGCTGCCTCTAGACAGTCAGCTACAGCTGCTGCAGCTGCTGCAACAGCTGCCTGCCTCGGTCCCTGTTAGCCTCCTCCTGTCCGGTGTCAGTTATGTTGCGAGGGAGATGAGCAGAAAGAGCAGCAACTTCAAGGTAGGAGATAATAGGCTTATATATATATATATATATTATATATAT